GCGGTCAAGTCTAGCAATCCTGATAGGCCCACCAATGACTGGTTGGTAAACTAATATATTCCTTCCGATTATATGATACTCTTCGAAACAATCGGTCACAATTTCTTTATATATTTATTTATACAGTATCATATTTATGTGAATTGAACTTACTCCCTCTATTAACACATTTCAGGCGAGTTAAAAAGATGATAAAACATTAATATGTCATTATTTAATGTACAATTAATTTAATAAAAAGATGAATAAAAATCTATTATTTGTTTGAAAAAGTACAAAATATATACATAAAAAATGAAATATAGAATGACACTTTTTGAAACAAAAAATAATATCAAATGACGTGTTTAATATAAAACAGAGAAAATATACCATACATGATTACCAAAAAAAATTGAGAAAAGTAAACAGGCAAAAATTCTCAGATTTCAAACATTTCCAAATAGCTCTTAGAGTGAGATAATTTTATATAAAGAGATGATAATTTCTTTGCATCTAGGCTTTGGTCCTACTATTTTTTATTTGTTGATTTGATGTGTATTTGTTTTTATCATATTAGCCTAAATTAAGATAGGATATTCTTTATATATTAAACTATTTTAATTTAAAGAACAAAATTTATTAATTAATTAACATAGTTTGGTGTTATGTATTATCTAACTCTATGATATCTAAATTTACGTGATTTCTAATATTATTATTTTAAATTTTTTGTTTTGTTTATAAATTTGGAATATAGATATAATAGAAATTAACTTAGATTTACAGATGCTTGAAATGTACATATTTATTTTGAATATGTCAAATTGTTTAATCTATGAGTGGGGGTGTAATTAAAATTTAACCATTAGTAAAACTATTAGCTTTGTGTTTCATGTATGGTTGGAACATGTTAAATGTTTCATCTATGAGTGGATGTGAAAAATAAAATATGAGTGGGGGGGGGGGTGTAAATCAAAAATAATCATTAATAACAATATTAATTTTGTGTTTCACTTATGTTTAGAATATATCAAATGTTTCATCTATTGGTGGGGTGGTAAATTAAAATTTAATCATTAGACTATTATCTTTTTTTTTGACAACGAAAGACTGATCTATTACTCAAATTAGACTATTATCTTTGTGTTAAAAATGAGTACAAAAGTTATAATGTTAGATGATAGACATATTTAAAGTCATGACTTATAAGTGGTACAAAATTTTAAAAAAAAAAATCACAAAAAAGTAAGTCATGAAATGAATTCTTTCTAACAAAATCTTTGTAAAATGCATTTTTGAAAATTAATCAATTTAAATTGTTATTATCATTATATAATTAAAATATTATTATAATTGTACTTCCATTTATAACAAAAAAATTTATGTTTTATGACATTTGAAATTGAAATTAACTTGAAATATCATTTAAAAAGATTCTAAAAAAATTTTATTAGAAAATTCTTTAAAATATTTTTTTAAAAATAAAAATAAAAATATTGAAAGACATAATAAAGTTATATAAAATATGATAAACTTTATAATGGTAGCCTAAATTAAAAGATCAGATATGAAAAAAGTCATGACTTCTATTTTATTGTTATAGATGTGTAATCTTTATTGAGGTAAATAAACACGACTAAAATCTTTGTTTACAGTGAAGTTCGCAAATTCATTTATTGCACCAAATGTACAATTTTGTTAATTTAGTTTGATTAATTCATGTGAGTTTATAGATAAATCGAGTATAACAGGAGTATTGATCCTCAACTCTATGGTTTGTTAATCTTGTGTTTCATAATTGTTTAAAATAATTGTGGCATTTTTTAGCAAAATCATAAAAAAATAATAAACAATATAATTAGACTATTACAGTAACAATTTTACTTTAGAATCTAGTGTGTAGCATTTTGATGTAAATATATCTAATATAGTTGTGATAACTAATATATATTTCTTACAACAGTATTTTTTATTTTATTTTAGAAAACAAGAATCCTGCAGTCATTTCCTTATTTATTTACTTTAAACATGATTTATATTTTTTTGGTTGTAGATAACAACTTAAACTCAAATGCTACGGTACAACTGGTTGCCCCTAATGTCGCAAATATTGTGATTATAGGAATGATTTGTTGTGATTGTAGATGTTTTGAATAACAAAAATTTAATCTAAAACACACATATCTCAATCAATTATGCTTTAAAAAAAAATCTACAGCTAAGATGTCTCTAACTGTTTTTTTTAAATGGCTATAAAAAACTTTATTTAGAGTAAAATATAAATGCTTTACAGTTTTCCAATCATTCTCATATATTGCATACAAGTACTAATTATATATCCATCTTTTTTTAAAAGAAACTATATTTTAGAGTGAAATTATTTCAAGAGTATATTTTACATTTTTATTGAATAATAATGGTAAATTTTAAATTTTGAATATAATAGTTGTGCTTATTAAATTTTAGTTGACTAAACTATGAAAATAGGTTTTTAGCATAATTGTAAAAAAATAGTTACTCACAAAAGAGCGGCTTTAATTTTATCGTTGACACAACTAAGCAAGAAAATGCATAATCGTCCGCTAAGATGCTAAACTTGTAAAAACAACCAGCAATATGGATCGTGGAAATCAGGGGTACTTACCAGTTGAACTATATTTTATCAGATAGATGTATATATTTTCATTTGGAAAATAATTTTATGTATAGTTGACCTGGTAATTATTGATTGATTTTTGGTACGCATACATTCTTACATTTGGATGTATATTGTCTCTCACATTTTAAACAAATTGGCTCTCGTCACATATATGCCACATTAGCATTTTAGACGTAGATTAATTGTGCATGGATCAATGTCGACTAATTGATTAAATTGAGTCAGTGTATATTTTGGGATAAATATTGGTGTATCTAGTCTAATCTAATAATAAAAATTAAGGAAAATCAAAATCATTATTGAATCAACCATCCATTGAAAAATTATTTGGAGAAAATTAAGTATAGAAATAATAATCAAGCATTAGAAAGTAGTGTTAAATTCTTTTTTTTTTAGAAAAAAGTAGTGTTGTTAAATTCCTCCGTAAAATAATTTCATTACAATTTTTTATTTTATTAAGAACTATCTAATCTTGCACGCTGGTTGTATCTTTACATCATGCTTCGCCAGCCCTTTTCCTTTGGATTATATCAAATGAGAAAAAAGGGTTAGACATTATATTAATAAGGTCCATATGGCAAGAGGATCCAACGACCACATAAAGTACACTATCATATTTTCCCTAATCTCTGTCCAAGAATAATTAATTTCAAACAAAGATACTTATATAACAAGCCTTGGCTACTACAATTGCGCATCTATTTTATCAAAAGAAAATTACAAAAATAAAATAAGTACAAAAATACAATACCTTTTGATTTTTTTAATCTATTTACAGTGGCATGTCATTGAAATTATTAATTAACTTATTTTTATGACTTTTTGTCTTATGTTTAATTAATGTCTTTCTAAAATCTAATGTTAACTAAAAAATCATGGCAATAATAATTAATATCTCTGACTTATAGTATTTTTATCTTTTCCTATTTTATTATATATATATATATATATGTGTGTGTGTGTGTGTGTTCGCAAATAATCAATAAATCTAATTTAAATAGTTAATAAACAATAGTTTTAAAGCTACATGGTTATATTTTTATTATTTATTAGTAATAATTAAAATAAAAGTCACATAAAAAGAATGATACATATATATGGTATATATATATATATATATATATATATATATATATATATATGAAAATATAAATATATTATATTATGTATAATTTATATAAATAATAGTCTAATATAAATTCCAGTATGATAAATGTTGAAAAGTATATAGCCCATATATTTTAAATAGTATCTACATCAATTTTATTACACATTATCATAAATTTTTAATCCATAAAAAGGTAAAAATAAATTTGTGCAGATATATGGATCTTATTCTATAAATATAGATGATATAATTGATGTTTACAAAATGAAATAAAATTATTCAATATAAATTATAAAATTACTGTGATTATAAATATTATATTAAACAATTATTTAAACATGTAAATTTAAACAATATATATTATCATGTATATAAAAGTCATTTATTTATAAAAACAAACAAAAAAATATCTGCGCGTATTAAGCTCTAGTACCAACTTAATTCTTATGACTTTCCTAGTTTTTTTAAAAACAATAAAGCTAAACTCATACGAATATATTGCATCACAAATTCAACATTTTTACTAGTCTTGACAAAGAAGAAGAGTGGTCTATACAGTTTTATCGAAGATATAAAAGTTCCTTTTGGCTATATATATATGAATATACTTTTATTTTGGCATAAATACTTTAAAATGGAACTCTGATTCATTTTCTTATTTATTTCATGATATAATGGTATCAGATCAGATAAAAAAGAATGGAGTAATTTCTTATGTATTTCATGATATAACGCCGTCAAATCAGATAAAAAGAATGTAGTCTTTTCCTTTTTGGGGGAGGGGGGATGTTTACATATATTAAATCTAGACTAGTGATATATACATTCCCATCATTTCGGTGATGAATTACATACGAATAAACGTATCTAAATGAAAACGCTTATTAGAACAAGGAAAAACGAAGGGAAAAGTTTGGTTTGTTTCGCTAAGTGGATAACAATGAAACCAAAAGAGAATATTGATAGTAGTGTCCCATGAGACACCTCACAACTAAGATTTCTTGCAACTTTGGTTTTTCTTGAAACTTCCCACCATAACTAACTACATATATTACAGAAGCATGGACTAATTATTATTTTTACAATATTGTAAAAGTTGTAATCTACCATCCTTATAGCTACATTCATGTAATATATTATTTATATACATCTTTTATACTAATTTTCCTCTGACTATAAATATATACATAAATAACCTATATATGTACCTATACGCATCCCTCTCCCTTTCCAATTCCCTTTCCCTCCCCTTCCTCATCTAATAAGCTTTTCTTGAGACCTTTACATGCTATATTGGTAGTATTTTCATAAGTTGAAGGTTCCTATATTAAAAATACATATTGAGCTAAAGATTATTCATATAATGGGTTTGAAAGATATTGGATCCAAATTGCCACCGGGGTTTCGGTTTCATCCAAGCGATGAAGAGTTGGTTTGTCACTACCTTTGCAACAAGATTAGGGCCAAATATGACCATGGTGAAGTTGAGGATGATGACGCTGACGAAGCCTTGAATGGTGCTACTGACCTTGTGGAGATTGACTTGCATATTTGTGAGCCATGGCAGCTTCCTGGTAATATATCGATTTTCTATATCTGTGTTTTGATTATATTTATGTACTTTTGATTGCTAATCATGTGTTTACGAGTTTGTTTATATATATTCTCTTCCGGCTTATCCACTCCTGGTTTTTGTGGGTTTCGAATTGTTTCCGTAAAGATTCTTGAAACTTTCCATTTAAGATGAAGATTCTCGAAATTAAATGAACATAATAAGAAAACAAATTCTAAAAATCAGATTTATTCTCGGCATCGGTTAGTAATATACAATTAGATGATGTTTACTTATGGGTATTAGTCAGATACTACTAATTTTCCGTTATTAGCACAATAATAAACGGATGATCGACTCACATAAATCCTACTTTTGGATTTATCAATTTATCATATGATTTTTATATCAATTTATCACACCATCCGGCGTGACATGATTAGTTGAGACACATGCTAGTTTTTTCTAAGAATAAATTGTATTAAGATTAATCAGAAATAAAATATAGAGGCTATATATACAAAAGCAGCGAAGTATACAAAATCGCAGTTGTCGTTGTTGTTGTTTTTTTTTTTTTTGGTCAATCGCAGTTGTCGATCGTTATATCATTCTCGTAAATCAGATTACAGCATGCAATCAATAGATATATATTATATATTTCTCTCTATATGTTAAGTATGAAGTTTAAGTACACTTTCAAATAAACATGCATATATGTAAGTGAAAAAGCATATATGTATAAGTTTGTGTTTGTTTGTATGCCTATGGTGGTTCTCATTTTTGTGTGTGAATTCTCTTTTGATACATTGAAATTCCGGAAGCTTTTCCAAAAGGTGACCGCGAATCTTGTTGTCATCTTTTTTTTTTCTTAAACTTTAAAAAAAAAATCGGTTCTCTTCGTAGTTTTGACTTTTAGGGACTTTGTTAAAAAAAGATAACTTGTCACTTATAAAATCCAAAGTTAGTTAATTTGTTGCATTAAAGAACATTTATTAAAATGCAACACAAGAATAAACAAAAAATTAGGCTGGTGTGTAAACACGTAGACCTTTTTGCTCCATATCACAAGCAACTTTAGATACTCAAGAAACCTTTATTACTTTCAAGACCTGCACGATCTTCTTGTAATTAATTACTCGAATATTTGTATATATCATGGTTAAAATAAGCAAAATATATACTACTAAGGATATGGATGATAATAATTATGAGGGTGATTGGTTGGGTTGTAAGTAATGACTTTAGCTTTAATTTCTGTCTACAACCATTTAAATCACCAATCATGCTTTAAATAGTTTTTAAAGCTAAAGTCAAAAAAATGGAAAAGTGGTTGTAGGAATCCTATTTTCTAAAGCCAAAAAATATTGCTGTAGTATTGTTGTAGGAATATCTTTCTTTTTATATTTTTTTTTCATTTAATTTCTACAGCTACATTAGATACAACTACATCAAAAATATCTACAGTCTAAATTCTACAGTAAAATTTTTAAATCTACAGTTCAACCAATCACCCCCTATGTTTCCGAATACTCTTTTTTTCTCTCAGTTAAGGCAGAATAAAGGAATCTTTTTAGGTAGTCAGCCATCTTCGTGATCATATTCTACAGGGATCAGATTAATGCGAAACTGATAGGAGGAATGTATGGGGGAGCAATGATTTTTTCTGTTGAAGTCAAAATCACAATAATATTTTTCCAAAACTGAACACAATGTCTCACATCGTCCGTCTTGTCTACCTCATGGCATGATTAACCCCAATTAACTCACAATTTAACATTTTTTTTTACATATTTAGATTATATTTGGATTAACGATTTTTATATTTTTTATTTAATACACTGTTCTTAATTTTTCTTAGTTAAAATTTAACCGTAATTAATCCTGGTCTCACAAGTTTTATATCATCACAAAATCTTCACATCACTGTTTATAAACCGATAGACTATAATTACGGTTTCTAAAATAAAATTACAGTGATCCAGTCAGTAAATTATTCATTGTAAATAGATTTCTTTAACTATCTTGTTAATAAAGTTCATAAATATAAAATGATAACCTGACAGTACTTTTGTTGTACTATATGATTTATGCAATACATATCTTATCAACCCCTCATAATAATTTACTAATGATTTATAAAATCTTGTGTGTTGTGTAAAAGATGTGGCAAAGCTGAACGCAAAAGAATGGTACTTCTTCAGTTTCCGCGATAGAAAATATGCGACTGGATATCGTACAAACAGAGCAACGATAAGCGGATACTGGAAAGCAACAGGTAAAGATCGGACGGTGATGGATCCACGAACAAGCCAATTGGTAGGGATGAGAAAAACATTAGTATTCTACAGGAACAGAGCACCAAATGGGATCAAAACTACTTGGATCATGCACGAGTTCCGTCTCGAGTGTCCTAACATGCCACCTAAGGTACTTGATTATTCCCTAACAATAATTCATTCTCTCTTTCATACTACTATCCATTATTAGTAATGATCATTTCACAATAATTACGTCTTACTAAGCATAACTTGTAACGTACCTAAACTCACCACATGTCTCTATTCGTGGATGTCGCATGCATAGATATAAATACCAAATTAATTGTATCAGCATATTTTTTTTTTTTATGCCAAAACTAATTTGCAAATTTGAGATAGTATAATTTTCATTTTCCTTCTATTTAGGAGAATCATGATAAGTTATAACCCACTAGAAACAATTTCTTTATTCTTTTTTTCTCAGAGATTAATCCTAAACCGTCAAAACGGTCATAGTCCACTAATCTAGTATAATAGTGATACCATATGACAAATCATAATTAAACTTCAACTTTAAGATTATTTGGCAAATAATTAAGTGTCAGTCTCTTCTCATTTCGATACGAGATTACGTATATGTAGAGATATTTCTCGTTGCTTAAAGTTATTAAGGCGTCAAATATATGTATCCATCCATGTTTGTATGGGTTGTGCTTGGAATGGGACACATGATGAGATGGCAGTAAGTACAAAGTAATGACGAACTTGTACAGAAAACAAAAAGAGAAAAAAAATGGAAGTAAAAGACAAAAGTGGCTTTAATGCGTGTTTGGTCATATGCATGCACGAGACCGCACGTAACGTAAACATCCCATGCATTTTATTAAACATATGTTACTGTTTTTTCTAAACAATGTCCTCTCTTTTTTCTATCGGTATGTGGACACAGGAGGATTGGGTCTTGTGCAGAGTGTTCAACAAAGGCAGAGACTCATCACTACAAGACAATAACAATAACAATGATCATCAGACGCAAAGGTTTGAAGTTAATGACGCTCCGGATAATCACAATAATCAGTTGCAGCCTCTACTATTATCCCCTCCTTCCACCACCATCGACCCTCCACACCATCATGATCAGTGGGAACAGCTAATGAAGCAGCCTTCAAGGACCACCGACCATCCCTATCATCACAATTGTCAACATCAAACCGTAGCATGTGGTTGGCAACAGATGATGATTGGCTCGACGTCGTCACTGTCAAGCCATGGCCCTGATCACGAGTCCTTGCTAAATTTTCTTTACGCCGACAACAACAACAGTGTCAACATCTCTGATGATCATTATGGTCAGAACTATGGGAAGATATTGTTGTCGTCAGACATCACGAGACTGGATCACGACAAGACATGTATGGCGTCATCATCCGATGGTGGAATGGGCTCTGATCCCCACATGGAACGTGGTGGCTTGAGTTTTGAGACCGAGAATCTTCTCGCTTTCCACTGAAAATATACTACACGAAGGATTTTACATACATTCGCCGATTTATTGATTCGTGAAATAGGCACATATATCTACAGTCTTGTCAAATATCATTCATGTAAGTTGTGTGGCTTTTGGGTATAGGGTTTGTGAAACTAGGTTATTTAGGAGGTTGATATAAATAGTGTGTTTTTTATTAGATTTTTTCATTTCTTTGATTAATACGTGAACCAATTTTTACTAAGAATATTATTGTCATAGTTAGTATCTTTGTAAATAATGCTGTGTATTTTCATCATATATCAAGAACTGCGTATCATTTGTTTATAATTTAAAAGTTCCCTTAACAACCTATCATGTGTATATTTTTATTTACTGAACTAAACAAGAAAATGATTTGTCAAAAACAAAAGAAGAAAAACTTCAGTTCAAAAAGAAAAAAAAAACTAAACAAGAAAATGTACAAAAAACGAAGATTATTCAAAGAAGGCAAACGACAAAATAGAATTTGGGCCATAAATAACCTTTGGATCCCGAAGCATATTAGTTTGGGCTTCCTTCAGGCCCATACATTGTTTTTTTTAACATCCAGGCCCATGAATTGTTATGTATAGTGAAATGTATCTACAATATGTATGATAGATTAGATTATACTTCAGTTTTTGATACAACGTCGTATAATTCAATAAACTAATAATTTAAAAATTATAATCCTCTATTTTAAATTTAGTTTTTGAGGAAAGTTGGAACCATCTTAAATGAAACATGATCTAATGCAGATATAGTTAGGACATGAATTAATACTTATACAACTAATATAGAGGAATCTACTTGTTTTGGTTATCATTCGTCGTATTCTCCATCTTCTTGTCCACGTGAGTCCTAACCTGTTCGGTTGTTCGACCCACATATATATGTTGGTCCAACTATCGACACCAACTGTTATAACTCAGGACGGCTCACTGGCCGAACTTTGACCACGTAGCCATCGGGGTCATAGAGAAAACAGTACAAGTCATCACCAGAGAATTAATGCAACTCGAAACTCCATTTTTATTTATGAGAAGGGTTACATACAAGTGCGTGCCGGTGTGTTCATTAGACACATATTTTACACATAAGTTAAAAGCTAAGAGTGAACATGATTACAAACTGACCATTACAGTAGTAAACCATGTCACTACTTTATTAGAAAAGTAGAACGTTTTAACTTAAGCCTCGACTATCTCCTCGATCAACTGGGGTTGTCCACCACGCGCACGGGTCAATGTGGTCTCAAGGGTGTTGAACTTGATCCTTCTAGCTTCCTCGAGAGAGATCTGGTAAGCGTTGGTTATGACCTCTAGTGGCAATGCCCTCAAGGCGGAGGTTCTACCTGCCAAAGTGCTGATCATCGCGTTAGCGTTTGTCTTGAAAGAAATCCATTCGAAGCTGTTTCCATGGGACTGGGCAACGTATGCGAATCCTCGTGGTCGATGACCACGAGTTGTCCCTTCTGCACTTGCTGGTCCAACACGTTCTGTCCGTTGTCGTTCACCACTTGAATCCTTGCTTGTCCTTGTGTGCAGTACAAGATCTCGTTTGCATTCATGTTGTATTTCGGAAGCACCATCGCATTCTGAAAGATTTAATATTTTAAAAAATATATTTAGTTAAATTCTTGATTTTTTTTTTTTAAAAAGTATTTTTATTAATTTTTTTTTTTTTTACTTACACCCTGGATAATGCCACGGGTAGCGCTGAGCCTGACGTACTGCAAGATGGGTAAGGTCATGCTGTTGACGCTAGTCACACGACCGAGGTGTGGTTTATACACGTCAGCACGGGCTGGGTCATCAATGTTCTCGTGGGTCCTCATACTGCAGATAGTCTCCTCCAAGCCGTTGTCTTGTGGGCTTTGTGGTGGGCCACGTGGGTGTCTCCACTTCTCACTCTCGTATGCCTGTCTAAGAGGCGGCCTCACAACCTGGAAAGGTCCCTTAACACGAACGATGTTTCCTCTGTTGTCTTGTTGGTTCTGAAGCTCCTGAGCCAACCTAACGTCGATTTTCAATGCCTGGGCTAGGACCTGAGGGTCGAACCCGCTCAACATGTTCTGTTGTTGTTGTTGTTGCTGTGAACTGCCCTGTGGGTTGTTTCCGGCCAGACGGAACGTCTACAACACAGAATCATGAATGCAAAGCATGTATATTAGCCAAAATGATACGGTAGCTATTCTAATAGTGAACGTTTGTGTATGTATATGATTACTCTTGGGTTGCGGTCGAGCTGGTTTTGGTAGTTGGCAATGTCTAGAAGGCAGATGATGACAAGTGGCTGGTCACCGGTGTTGTAGATCCAATGGGCAGAGCCTGAAGTTATGGCTATGACGTCTCCATGTCGTACATGTTCCACCTTCTGGTGCATGTCACGGAACCCTTGTTGACCTTGCTGCTGCTGTCCCTGCTGACCCTGTTGTCCTTGTTGTCCCTGCTGACCTTGTTGTCCCTGCCATGGTTGTCCTTGTTGTCCCTGCTGACCCTGTTGTCCTTGTTGTCCCTGCCATGGTTGTTGTTGTTGTTGTCCTTGCATAGGCTGAGAGTCCATGAAGGTTTCCGCGCATCCAGGGACCACTCTTCCGCTAATACCCATTCCTATAAAATTTTATGGAAAAAAAGAGAGAGAAGTGAGATATATTTGGGGTCAGTGGGTCGTATCTTCATTAGAAGATAAATTATATACATATTTGATGGACATGTTAATTAATTATATGTGCATAGATAGATATAGACCTTGAACAACGTAGGAAATTTTGGGGGAGCTGAAGAAGGTAGGAAGGTAAAGACCGCCTTGTTCGATTACAACACGAGAGATAGAGACACCAGCACATCGGATTTGAGGATGGTTGTGATCCCAGTACTCGACTCGACCAGCCTCGCTCTTGATAGTTTCGGTGGGTTCAAGAACGTCTAAGTTATCTAGGTTACAGGCGTTCCCTAGCTGAGGAGGAACCCCTAGGGACTGCCTTGCGAGACTGCCGTTAAGGAGGAGGAGAACCCCGAATGTTGCAACGAGGATATGAGCAAGCTTAACCATATTGTTTGTGTGTTGTTGTGACAGATGGATGAAGAAAATAGAGGTCCTAGTAGGAGTTTATATATGTGGAGTGAGCATGAAGGTTTTGCCACGTAGGAATGGGTTTGCATGAAGTCGTGGGTTTATGGTCTTTACACGTCAATCTGTGAGCTCAAGCAAGTGTCTCATGATACTCATGCGCGTAGCACTATCTCCGCATACTCCAAACCACGACAAAATTAAAATGTATCTCTCTCATTTTTAGGTGCATGTTGTATAGAGGGAACTCTATAGTTGATTAAATTATCCTTTATTAATCGTCTTAAATTCATAAAACCATAATGATTAAATTAAAACGAGACAGGAGAATCTACTTTTATGATAATTAAGTGTCCAGTATTAAAATACATATGACGTTCTGATCGAACGGTTTACTAGATACAGCCAAAACTAGTTTTTATTTTTAAAAGGAGTTAGGAATTCAAGAGGAAAGGAGACAAAAAGATGACACTTGATAGACGCGGCGACACTCGGAGGGTTTTGGTCCGTTCTATCGTCTGCGACTTGAGTCGCCAACTGTTCGGTTGCATGTTAAGTCGCGATGACATGTGTACTCACCCTTGTCATAACCATAAGCCCATTCTCAATCAAAGCTCATCCAAATGGAGTAGAATTGACAATTTTATCCGATTAGATGGAGAGTGTAGTTGTACTTATTAACAACAAAACAATTGTATGTTCATCATCCGAGTGTATGTATAATCTTTATCTTTTGTTGTTACAAATGTTTTGCTTCTTAATCCTTGGTACACAAGGAATTTAGCGGACCTCTGTAACTATTAGAGTTATGAGCTTTCTATTGGGCTTTTTAATCATTGTGCACATGGGCTTTAGCTATAACGTGGGCCCAAAGTTCTTTCCTAACTCTTGAATAGAAAGCCAGGGCTTTAAACCCTAAACCCCTTTTCTCACCATCTTCCCCTCTCTCTTCTCCGCGACATTAGCAAAGTTTTCAGGTACGCTTTTCTCTCCTTTGTCCTTGGTGTTTTCTCCCAAATTGGTCTGTGTCGGTCAAATTTCTTATCGAAATTCTTCATGAACAAGTAAAAAATTTAGGTGGGTGAGAGTGTTCTGCTCGAATTTTACCAACTAATCGTAGCTATTGTGCCAAAGATACTGTTTAATTAGAAACTTTCTGGGGGATCCTAAGATGGGTCTTCCTTAAAGTTGCAATCTTTTAATGACTTGATTTGTTACGTCACAATTAGTCTTACATTTTGCTTACAGTGAGTAGATCTGTGTCTGAAGTTTTGAGTGTTTATGTTCCGACACTCGTTAAAGTTTTTATTTTTTAATATTGGTTGGTTGTTACAGAAAAAGATGAATTTGAACAACGTCAAAGTTCCGAAGGTGCCAGGTGGTGGTGCAGTATCAGCGTTGCTTAAGATTGGGATAATCGGTGGGCTTGGTCTCTACGGTGCCACGCACAGTCTCTACAATGTTGACGGAGGTCATCGAGCCATCATGTTCAACCGTTTAGTCGGTGTTAAAGATAAGGTTAGTTAAATGTTCTCTTCATCAACTGAATCTTCCTAGTGAGATCTCATGAGGTTTTGTGACATTAATCTAGGTTGATTTGTTAAGCCTGGTTTATCATTTGTGAAAGCTTGTTGTTTTTGCCTAATAATAGTCTTCTTATTTGAAAATGTCACAAGTATGCAGTTAGTAAAAAGCAATCTTGTTATTATGCAGGTTTACCCTGAGGGTACACACCTTATGGTTCCTTGGTTCGAAAGGCCGGTCATCTACGACGTTCGTGCACGACCTTACCTTGTTGAGAGTACTTCCGGTAGCCGTGATCTCCAGATGGTACTCTATTTAAGCTTCTCCCCTTTGTCATTTTTTTTGGTTTCGAGAAATGTGAATCCATAAGCTCTGTGTTTTGAAACTTTTAGGTGAAAATTGGGCTCAGGGTTCTCACACGCCCCATGGCAGATCAGTTACCTGAGATCTACAGAACACTTGGTGAGAACTACAGCGAGAGAGTTCTGCCTTCTATAATCCACGAGACTTTGAAAGCTGTTGTTGCTCAGTACAATGCAAGCCAGCTTATCACTCAGAGAGAGGTATATAATTAATTGGCTCTGTTAATTTTCCATTTCTTAGTGAGACAGGTAATCGAATCTATTTTTGTCATGCGACTCTCTCAGGCGGTCAGTAGGGAGATCAGGAAGATTCTGACTCAACGAGCAACAAACTTCAACATTGCTCTTGATGATGTGTCCATCACGACCTTGACTTTTGGGAAGGAGTTCACGGCTGCCATTGAGGCAAAGCAGGTGGCTGCTCAAGAGGCTGAGAGGGCTAAGTTCATCGTTGAGAAGGCTGAACAAGACAAGAGGAGTGCAGTTATCCGCGCTCAGGTAAAGAGAAGATTTTCTACTTTTTCCAGTCACCTTAAATTTTTAGTCTGATATTGTTGTGTAACAAACGTTCTATATTGCCTTGTGTAGGGAGAAGCCAAGAGTGCTCAGCTCATAGGTCAAGCAATAGCAAACAACCAAGCGTTCATAACGCTCAGGAAGATCGAGGCGGCAAGAGAGATTGCTCAGACCATAGCACACTCGGCCAACAAGGTGTACCTGAGCTCTGATGATCTTTTGCTTAACTTACAGGAGATGAATTTGGATGTGAATCCAAAGAAGTAAAGGGAGGCTTCTTAAGTAAACACACATGGTGGTGCGTTCTGTCAGTCTTTTTTTTCAATTTTCTTGCATCTTTTGGAACAAAAGCTGAGATCTTTGAATTGTTAAATACGTTTTAAACTTGTTCTTGGGATCTCATTATCCCAATGTTATAGCCTTCATCCCATCAAAAGAGGCAGAAAAAACTGTCTTTACTGAACGAGTCAACTGTAATAAACTAGGTTTTGCACTTTATAATTAACCTGCCAGCCTGTAGTTCACCAAAGCTTGCAAACACAATATGAAAATGAATTTAATGTACCAAGAGATCTTTGTACATTTTTTTCATGATCAGTCCAAGGTGTTAAACTTGTGTACAAAACAGTATAATCAAAACGGGAAAAACATAATGACAAAATGGTTACGTATATATGATTGCACAGTATATTTAAATTATTCTCAATGTATTTATGTGTTACTATAGTATAATAAACCTCTTCTCTTATTTGTCGACCATTCATATCGAAGTTACTTTCTTCAAGGGATAAAAGTTTGAGAGTCATGAACCAAGTGGTTCTGTATCCCGGTTTGATTAAACGAGATGATCGCCGGAATATTGTTATAATACTCACCGGCTCCAGCAGATCCTCCACCACCATTGCCTTTAACGTTTTGAAGATGGTAATGAAGGTGGCGACCACCAACACCAAGGTGGTGTCCGTAAGGTCGCTCCTTCACAGTGGCTGCGGCAGCAACCGAGCCACCACATTGGCGTGGTTGAGTTTGGTAGAATACTTTGGAGACGACGAGCTCGCCTTCTTTCTCTTCCTCATTGGTACCAAGATGATACTGATGCATCACCCAATTAGTCTTTTCCGGTTTCTTTTGTTTGCCGTAGTTTGTGTAGAGCACTAGGATTTTCTTGTAGCCTCTCACTCTTCCTCCGGTGAGAACAGGACGTGTTTTTCCTGTCTTGTGCCACCGTGTCTCGCCACCTACTTCGGAGTCAGTGTGGACTTTACGTCGCTTTCTTGTTCCCGTCGTGTATGCCTTTGACGGTCGGTGGAAGAAATGACGGACCGTCCCATCCTTGTTCACACCTATATATGTGAATGTTAATCAATGTCTATGTAATCGTGTAGTCATTACTAATTTATTAGCATTTATCAAACATAACACAATTAGATATTACACTCGTTGAAAAATATGAATGACACTAGTTAATCAATTGGACTGGCTTCAGGCTCTATTTATATTTGACATTTTTACCTGCTAGAAATTATATAGTACACTTCCTTTTTCTAACAAACTCTACTAGCAATAAAAAATTGGATGGTCAATATATATGCTCACTGCATGGTCTGAAAATGAATATAATCTATTAACTGTGTACAGTTCGCTAAATCTAAAATTATTCCTTATAAATGGTGCAAATTTAAGGAATGGAGAGGAATTAACTATTATGATTCCTTATAAATGGTGTCAAATTTAAGGAATAAAGAGGAATTAACTATTCCCACACATTCCTTTGGTCACCAGTTAAAGCCTATAATTTTTAAATAAGATAATCGTACGTTAAAAAATTAGATCTGTAAGCAAATTAAAAAGTTCCATATTATTCATAAATGATTTGTTCATCTTTCATGTCGGATAAGTTTAGACCATATAAAGACAAAAAAACATAATATTCCCTAGTAAAAAAAAAGTGAATAATAGTTGGTACGTAGAGGAAAAAAGACATAGAGTCACCTGGCAATTTCTCAGGATGTGTATAACAGATACCGTTTTCACCGTCGATAGTACGAATGAACTCATCGATGAGAGGATGAAGCTTTCTTGCGTCGTCTCTTACCTTTCCTTCAAGATGCTCCAATACCTCTTGATCCGTCGGATCGAACTTAACTCCGGCAGGTAGTCCCGGCAAGTCATGGATCCCCGCCTATACAAATCACATATTATTCATATCAACTATCGAATAGTTACTTAGGATACAGCTAAAGAGATACAAGAACCTGTTCATGAAACTTGAATTTATGGCCACAAGAAGGACACGTTTTGTGAGTAGAGACTTGAAACGAAGCTGCAGGAGACTGCGCTGCTGTTGGAGAGGGAATGATTCTTTCAACGGTTTGAACATCGCTACGGTCATTGCACCAAGTCATGTTGTTTTGTGTCTCTTAGTTTCCTCTTGTGCATTACCTCTCTTCTCTTTTCTTCCTCCACGGTTCTCACAACTTCGTTAGAATAAACAAAGGCGTGAGAGAGAGATAGAGAGAAGAGAAAAAGGATTAAAGATGGCTAAAGCATATGTTTCCTAAGTAGAACTCTTTGAGGTTATCTTGAGAAAGAGGAAGGAATTGAATTCTTGTTCATTACTTTTTAAGCTGAGTTAATTGCTCTTTTTTGCCCTTGATTTTAACTTTGTACTATCCATGAGAAAGAAAGATAAGATAGGCCTAAAAGAAATATTATTAAACCTCATTTTATAATGTATACGAATGTACCGTATTCTATATAGTAAGAAAATATTATTTTAAGACTTAAAAGTATGTCTAAACAAGGAAACATACATGCTAAGTAACAATGATAGGGAGAGGTACACCTACAACTTGAAAGGAAAGTGTAAGTTCATTTAACTATGAAACATTAAAATCTTTAGTTTTACATTTATCTAACATTGATAAAATACTGGAACTTTGCTTGTTTTACAAGTATATATGCAGATACATACTTTGGAGTAAAACAATATTTAATAGAATCAACATTAAATTCTTCTTGTTTAATACAATGATATTCCGGATTTCTTTTGCAAACAAAAATGGATCATCGTAAGAAAAAAGAAGAAAAGATTGCTTGGGTTTTAAGTTTGGTTTAGCTTCTACATGGCATGTATGGTGTGTGAGAGAGAAGTAGACAAAGACTGATCGAACAAAAACAAAATGAAAACAAAAGAAAACAAAACATTGTGAAAGAATATGTGTAAGCTTCCTTTAGTTGACAAGAACTTTTTTAAGTTATGGCCCAAATTACATTTATCTGGTCGTATTTTGAGTGCGCTATATATAATGTATCATATAAAACTATTAAAGCTGCAATTAATCAATTTATTATTCTGCTAACTTATTGATATATACATGTATATATGATTAGGATCTAAAAATTAGTGAATATGAGATGGAGTGAGTTTGGGGCAAGGTGTTGCTGCTGGTCTGTGAGGGCTCAGAGGTGGTATGGTAGAAGCAAAAATAAGAAAAAAGAAGTTAAGGTCCAATGTCAACCTAGAGTGTATACAAAGATATTATTACATAAGCGTATACTTAAAATTTACACATCTGTATATGCATTTTTTTCTCAGCATATCCATCAGTATAATGTTCATCTACTTACTGAAATTAGTAGTAAACATCGATATAATTACTTCGACAAAAACATTAGAATAATGGTAGTTGGCCATTGATGATTTACGTGTCTACTATAATTTTAGGTTGTGCAGAAATATAGAGTATAGCATTTTCCCTTTATAAATAGTTTTTTTTTTGTTAAAGGGTTGGATTTTTAAATAGTTAGCTTAAGATATTTTGAAATCTATTATTATTGAGTAAATATAGAAATTGATATACTTGCATACATATATTATGATAGTCATTGAGTGAATTACGTGCTATATATGAAAAATGAATTTAATGGACCTAAGTATTTCTGTTCAGTAAACTAAATTATACTACCACTGTGGTAATGAATTTGTCAGTGTAATAGAGTTATAACTGCGATATAATATATTGAAAATGAATAAATAAAAGTAGGAAGATGTTTTTTATATATAAAAGAAAAAGAAAGTTAAAAAGTCAGTCATTATTCTATTTCTTAACGTAGACTTCTCATGCATAACAAGGAACCTCGACCTTTTATTATTTAATTTTTTCTTTTTGTCGTCTAATTTTGTTTCCCCTTTCTCCCGTTAATTTTGAAGACATGTTATACCTGGTATTAACAAACTAAGCAAAATGATGAACAAATGTTACGCTTCTCTTATGTTATGCGTATCGGTTAGGAAATTTGTGGTTTGTTTGTTGTTTTCATAGGTAGAAATCGTGGCAATATGTCATTCAAGAAATCCAAATATCCAATCATATTACTGACATGTATGGTCGATGTTTGGCTATTTGGTAAGATACAAATATAACTCTGAATTCACTGTTTCTAATGTCTGGAAATGTTGGACTTTCGTATATATTTTTGTTGAAATCTAAACTATTTTAATTTCGTTTTTTATATAAAGGTAGATTGTTCTAGAAGGTGATTCAAGAGTTTTATCCAATATGCTACTTTTCGTTGTTGAATTCACCGTAATTATTTATTCCTTTATAATTTTGATTAAAACATCATGTAATTAAAAGGTATATATATATATATATATATATATATATATATATATGTTTATTTGCTATGCACAATATTTTACTAGGAAAAAAAAACAGTCACGAGAATGAAAATCCGTTTACAAATTAATGTTGTAACGGGCCGAGTATGACAATGAAGGTTGGCTAAAGGGTGGACCAACTATGAATTGTTACAATCATATCGCTAATTCAAAATATATTAAGATCAAATTCATAACATTAAAAGCTATTACCCAATCAGAAAGCTCCACTTTTCTGTTTCTGATTTCTTACAATTCAGGGAATTCACCTAACTTAAACACACACCAAATAACTATTTCTGGCCCAACTCAACCTTCACCAGCCCATATTTGAATGCTCAAACGCTGTTTACGTCTTCCACGTAGTAAGGCGAGAGTTTCCCACTGCTCTTTGAGCGTTTAGACACATTTCGAACGCTACTAGACATAGCACCAGAGACTTCTTGAAGCATGATCACAACTTTTCTCATGGAAGGTCTGTTTAGAGGGAGAGGGCTCGTACAGAGAAGACCAATGTGAATCACTTTGCTAATCTCTTCTTTGAACCCGAGATCAAGTGTGGGATCGATCACCGATTCTAAACCGCATTGGTCAAGCGTAGTGCACACCCACTTCACCATATCTTTATCTCCGAGTTCTGGATCTGTTGGTTGCTTCCCCGTTACCAACTCCAAAAGCACGATACCAAAACTGTAGATATCGCTCTTCTCATTCACCCTAAGTGTATATACATATTCTGCAAAAAACCATTAGAAAACAAAAAAAGTATTAACACGCCAATGACATTTGAAACATTATGTAACGGTATGGTTTTTATCATTTTATTTAGCTATATTATACCTGGTGCAATATAACCGCAAGAACCAGCGATTCCAGACATAGCTTCTGGCGATTTAGCACCACTCATTTGACCGATTTTCGCGATGCCAAAATCAGCTACTTTGGCTCCATAATCTCCATCTAGCAATATGTTACTAGACTTCACGTCACGGTGCACAATCGGAGGAACACAATCATGGTGCAAGTATGACAACCCTTCAGCTGCGTCTATAGCGATCCTTAACCGTTCAGGCCAACCCAACAACACCCCACCTTTACGGTGGCTGTGCAACGCATCAGCTAAGCTCCCATTAGGCATGTATTCGTATACCAACAACTTACAATCCCCAGAGCTGCAGCAACACCACAAACGCACAATACTCTTATGCCTAATCGTTCCAAGCGTTTCCACCTCCGCAGCGAAAACGTCTCTATTCAACGAAACACCAAATCCATCTTCTCCTCCTTTGACCGTTTTATTTAGTTTCTTCACCGCTACTACTTCTCCACCACTAAGCTCCGCTCTATAGACTTTACCAGAGGAGCCAGACCCGATCACGTTCCGTTCTTCAAGACAATCAACGATCTCATGCTCGCTGAAATGAAGCTTGTGGAAAGATCTCCACTTAGACGGTGACAATCTAGCCCTCTTGGAAGCTCTCATCCTCTTGCAGTTGGCGATAAACATGACAAGCCCAACAACAAAAACCAAACAAGCAAGTATGAAAATCAATAACAGAATCCAGACATAACCGATCCTTTTAGACCGTGTGATCTTCCGACAAAGACTGTCGTGATCATCCAAGCACAAGTCACGATTCCCGACAAAGCTGGACGCGTAGTTTTTGTTAGCGTAGAGAGGAGGTACTCTCCCGGAGAGATGATTATACGATAAATTTATAACGTTTAGCTTCAGATTCTGGAGCTCCGGTGGAACTTCACCGGAAAATAAATTCTTTGAGAGATCGAGGTAGTTAAGAACAGGCAAGTCTCCGAGCTCTCTAGGGACTTCCCCGGAGAGATGATTATTAGCTAAATTAAGCTCGTTCAGATTCTTCAAACCACTAACTCCACGTGGAATCTCCCCGGAGAGTTTATTAGAGCTGAGATCGAGCCTGCTCAGTTGCTTAAGCCTCACGAAACTACTAGGAACCTCGCCGGAGAAGTTGTTATGATCTCCGGTGATCTCGACGAGTCCGTTAAGCGATCCGATTTCGCCGGGGATGGAACCTGAGAACTGATTCTTTGAAATTCTCAGGTTTGAGAGATTCTTTGCACCGGCGATGGCCTCAGAGATTGTTCCTGTGAACGTGTTCTCCGAGAGTTCGAGCAGCGACAAGCGAGGCAACCCCCAGAACTCTCTCGGAACATGACCTGAAAGCTTGTTTTTACTCAATCGGACACGTGTCAAGCTCCTACACTTTCCCAAATTCGTCGGTATTTCACCTGAAAACGAGTTCCCTATAATCATGAGATACTCCAGCTTCCCTCCTCCGCAAAGATTCTTCGGTATCTCCCCGTAAAACTTATTATACGAAAAGTCAACATACTGTAACGGAGAGTTCGCGCCGAGTTGACTCGGTATCTCCCCAGTGAGTCTGTTATTAAACAGCTTCAGTTCCGTTAACGTTTTGGACCGAGTTATGCTCTCAGGCAAGGCCCCTTCGAGCATGTTCTCGAAGAGGTTCAACGACACGAGGTTTAACCGAGCCAACCCGTCGGGAATCTTCCCTGTCAGCTTATTCGTCGACGCGTCGAAGCTCTTTAGCATCGTCATGTTACCCATCGCCTTCGGTAACTCGCCTGAGAACGAGTTTTTGAATATCTCGATTTGCTCGATGCTTTTCAGCTCAGTGATCCAACTCGGGAGGGACCCGGTGAGTCGGTTCGCTGTCAAATCCAAACTAACCAACTGAGTTAAACCGGAGAGAGTTTGAGGTAACGGTCCAACGAGGTTGCAGCCGGCGAGCCAGAGAACACGAAGCTCCGTTAGATTACCGAGTTGACTCGGGATTCGACTCGGGGTAAAAAAATTGTAAGCGAGTCTGAGTTCTCTAAGAGTGGATACGTTGCCGAGAGAGGCGGGGATGGTACCGGAGAGGAGATTTCCAGCGAGATTCAAAGACTCGAGGTTTTTGAACTCTCCGAAAGTCGTCGGAATCGTGTCTGATAAGTTGTTCCCGGATATTTCGAGGGACCGGAGGTTGGGGAGGTTGTAAGGAAGTGACTTTGGGATGGAACCAACTAAAAGATTCTCAGACAAATTAAGATGTCTGAGGTTCCGACACGATGTGAGATCATGGTCGGAGAGGGAACCATTGATGGAGTTGTTGTAGAGAGAGAGGAGTGAGAGGGAAGGGAGACGGCAGAGGACGGAAGGGAAAGGACCGACGAGCATGAAGCTGGAGAGATTGACGGAGAGGACGGCTGACGTGGCGGCGTCGCAGGTGATGCCGCGCCAGTGGCATGGTGTGACGTCGTTTTCGGACCAGGAAGATAGTGACTGGGCAGGGTCGGAGAGGCTCAGTTTAGCTTGCCGGAGGATGGTGGCATCGTGGTTTTGAGAGAAGGATAGATACGTGGAAGAGAGGCATAGGAGGAGGAGGAGAATAAGACAATAAAACATTTTTTACTACGAAAGATTTTTCTCGCATGCTTATGATTTGTGAATGAAACGAAATCATACGAGTTTTAAAGGTTCAGGATTGTAGAAGCAAAGAGGGAAGCGAACACTGCGACATGACATGTGTGAGACATGTTTTTCAATATTAAGGATTAAACAGTAAGCTATATTTGTATCCATGTGAAATTGACTACAGTATTTACATATAATTCATCACAAAACTCGTAAGTGATGAAATTAATTAACATCCGAGATTTCAGATTTGAATAGTTTATATGTTGTTATTTTTATTGAAAAGTTAATTATAATGAGTAAATTATGTGAAAAGGAGAAAATTTTGGTCACTATCTAAGTCAACTCGAAGACTACAATGGTCAACATGATGGAGATACGTAGGCCATGTAATGCTGGAATTAATGATTTATATTGACTTTTGAGAGTCTTGATAGAAACTTATTTCGTTAATGTTTTTACTTTAATGAATGGACAAGGAAAACCATCGATTATTAGATTGATAATCCACATTAAATCCTATGATTTTGCATCCATCTTTAAACTTTGTTAAACCGAATAACTAGACCCTATGTCCCCCAACCCTAGGTTGAATTGAGAATTTGATTGACGATCTTTCTTTCGTAAAGGCACGTGGGTGTAGACAAGTGTCAAATTTGGTTGGTCGGAAGAACATGATCTAACAGTATATTTTTTTGTTAGATTGCTTTCTTTTCATTAGGTAAAGCAACAGTCATTTGATTAGAAACTTGAGAGGACGAGATTTAAGGGGGATATGTAGCTTAACATTTTTGTCTTCTTTAATCAGTTTTCGGAAATATCACGAGTGTGCTGTTCTATAACATCGATGATGGTCCACACCACTGATCTCACCTTAATCCAATAATGTTTAAGTCTTCTTGGTCCTGTAACGATAGTTATACCTATTTCCTAGTTTGCATGCCCTGTACGTCTCCCCCAAGCACTTTGCTTTTAGTATTTTAGACTTTTGCTCTCTGTTATTCTGAAGATTTAGTTATAGAGTATTTTGACCGAACATGAAAAAGACATTGTAAAAGTTATGTATATACGTGATTTTATCTCGTTATGAAGTTCTATAGTTCATATTGTCTCCATGTTTACTGTGTCGTGGATATATGAAATAGAGGTCAGTGAAGTTCTCGTTTCTTGATTAGTTTTACTAACACAAAAGTGAAGAGTTCATCGTCCACTTCACAACGGATAACCTCTTTTAGCCGAAGAATAAATTCTTCCAAAGAACAATTTAATGCGTTGTTCATGGACCATACGTTATAGACTGATTAATATTAAGCCACGTCTTTGAAGAATACGTAAGCTAGATTATCTTCTTAAGAACAAAAAAACTATATTATCATATACTGTATGTTCCTATCGTATTACAAACAAAGTTTACTTCGGTAGATAAAAAATGGAACTAGAGGAATCAAAAGACGGAATAACGTGAATGAACTACATAAAAACTAGAATGAATAGATTCTTTCCATTTATTTCTTGTCAAAATTATAGAAGAATATATATACATGTTTCTCTTTGTACGTATTTTAATTGTTGTGAAATGGATGAATTACTCATTCCATTTCATTCAAGGTGAACGGTAAAAAAAATAGAATAAATGGAATAAGCCATTCTAAAGAATCTTATTCCACAAATTCTTATAATACAGTTGCAAACTTTGCATGTCTCCTCACCAAATGGATTTTGTTTTGGAATGTCTTCTTATCCAGCGAGCTTCTTCAGGCTTTCTAAGCGTTTGACAATCTAGTCCCACTAGATCCTATTTCTATTTCAAAAGGGTGACAAAGTGAATCAAGTGATAGCTTGTTCCCACGGTAAGTATATCGATCTATAACCTAGCATCAGTCGTCAGAATCGTGTAGATATGAGGCTCATACGTGTAACGTGAAGTTGCGTCAGTACTTGTACGTGTAGACTCGATTTAATTACATATGGCATAGCTATTTTGATTCTGCGTGGGCACATCAGATCCCAAGTCCCTCTGGTCTCTAGTGTAATACTATGCGTTATTTATTGTTATTGTCACTATTATTTTATCAGCTGCATGCCATCAGTAAGGAGGTTCAGAAAATGTTAAGAGCTTATGTGAAGTTTTCACTATGAGATTTATAAAATTATCTATAAAGATTATGTATTTATTTGGAATTATACATATCAGCTAAATATTTGGATTGTGTAATTTTATGATCTTTTCAACAAAATCACATGCTTAATATAAATTTCTGCAAAAAGTAATTACTTTCCGGTAACAACGTTTTAATTAAAAAAAAACGTTTCATTATTCAAAGGTCTATTTGGTTTTTACGTTTTTGTTGGTAAGCCTGACATGCAACAGAAACACAAAAATGGAAGAACAGAATCTCTAACCCTGTAACCTGAAACAACAGTTTAACAGAAGAAGACACACAAAGACAAAGAAAACGAAACCTTAAAACCCTGTCGAATTCTTCAAAATAATCATCAAGAAACACAAGGGACATATATATCTAATCGTTAGAGTTTTTCCAGAGTGATCAATCAAAACTAAAAGAAAGTAATGGAAGAAACGCATGCGCCGTTGTTGATAGCGTCGTTGCCTGAGGCACCAAGAAAGCTAAAGTCGAAAGTACAAAAAATGGCGAGAAAAGCATTTAAAGGAACAGCTCATCTCTCAAATCTTCTCCCCACCGGTTCGGTAATGGGTTTTCAAATAATGTGTCCGGTCCTATCTCATCAAGGTCAGTGTCCAACCATCGCTAGTCGCTGGCTCACCTGCTTTCTCGTCTTTGTCTGCGCCCTCTCTTGCTTCCTCCTTTCCTTCACCGACTCCTTCAGAGACCCACGCGGCAAGGTAACAAACACACACATCTCTCTCTCTCTCTCATTCATTTACTTTTCTGGTGAGTTATGTTACGTTTTGAAAACATGATGATTATGTTCTTTTTACAGGTCAGGTACGGATTCGTGACGCGGAGTGGTTTAAGTGTGATGGAAGGATCGATTACACTAACGGATGAGGAGAAGGAAAAATATAAGCTCAGGGTTATGGACTTTGTGCATGCATTCATGTCAATGCTCGTCTTCTTTGCAATCTCCATGATTGATCAGAACGTGATCCGTTGTTTATTCCCTGTTCCTTCTGAAGATATCAAGGAGCTTCTCACCACTTTGCCTATCATCATCGGCGTTATTTGCGGTGGCTTCTTCCTCGTGTTTCCCACTCGCCGTCACGGCATTGGCTCTCCACTCACCAAAGAATAAATCCAATTTTTTTTGTAACACAGAGAGTTTCATCTTCAGTTTTTGTTTTGTTACCAAAATCTTGAAAGAATAACTTGAAAATTTTCTGTGAAAACGTATATTACCAAAACAAACTTGGATCACAAACATAACAAGACAAAAAGAAAAAGCTGTAATGATTCATTCAACCAAGAAGCTTCTTGAAACCAGCCTTCTGTTCTGCAGTTAACCTAGCTGGAAACTTGATGTTGAACTTGATCCTCAAGTTCCCTTTCTTTGTCTGATCTTTCTGAAGTGGCATTCCTTCTTTTGGCACCAACTCTTCATACTCTGGATGGATCACGTTTGTGATGGGGATTGTAAGTGAACGACCATCAAGGGTCGTTATGTTGACGGTGTAGCCTGTTAAGGCTTCAGCTAGTGAGATCTTCTGTGTGACAATCAAGTCGTTGCCGTCACGTGTGAACACTGGATGTGGTTTCTCGTCGATGATGAAGACAAGATCAGCTGGAATCACTCCGGGATGTTCGTTGCCTTTCTCAGGGAATGTGATCTTTGTGCCTTTCTTCCATCCTGGTTTCACTCCAATCGTTAGAATCTCTTCAATTTGCGTTGTTTTGCTGCATTTTAGCACAAGATAAAAACAACACTATTAATTAAGACTCAGTATATAAGAACGTTTAATGTATGATCAAATTGGTAATGCTTACCCGCTGACATCAGCAATCTCCCTGGAGATTTTCATCTTCTTGGTGGTTCCTTTGTAGAGATCTTCAAGGCTACAGGGCAGCTTGTTCTCTATTGGAGCCACTTTCCGAGCTGCACCGTGATGATGATGGTGATGATGCATTGACCCACCTCCTCCTCCTCCTTCACCAAACGAGCTATACATATCATCACCAAAGATACGGCTAGCGAACCTCTGCCCTATTCCACTGCCACCAACGCCTCCTCCACCAAACGGGCTGCCACCAGCGCCTCCTCCTCCACCAAAGGGAGTAGAGAACCCGAAGAACTCAGCGAATATATCATCAGCACTTCTCGGGTTGAACCTGAAAGATGAAGGTCCATCTCCTGTAGAAAAGTAGGAAGATCCACCACCACCACCAGAAGCATTAGGAGGTGGCACGTTCCCTTTTAACCCTTCCTCACCGTATTGATCAAATACAGCTCTCTTCTGAGGATCGCTAAGAACCTAAATCAAAACTCACAGACAATACCTATATTAGCTACACATAAAAGACTATATCAACGTAACTCCTAAGGTACATGCATGTTCAGAGCTTAAGAGGTTCTTAACAGTCCATCAGAGAGTTTCAAATACAACGGAGAAAGCAAGTTCATTAACTAACTATGAAATAGAGTCAGAAGATTCAGAGAGGACGCACAAACTAAGTAACCTAGGAAACAAAACACGAGTCCAATCAGTAAACTATGCTCGTGAAAGCCGACAAATTGGATCTAAACTCCGCCGCCGACAGTTTCAGACATGAATATAAATCAAATTCAGAAACTTTGGGATGAATTCAATCGAAAAATACAATCTTTTAATCTGATATCAACAAAAAAAGGAAGGAAGAAACATACATCGTAGGCTTCAGAGATCTGCTTGAACTTAGCTTCGGCCTCTTTTTTGTTGGTAGGGTTCTTGTCGGGATGCCACTTCATAGCGAGTTTTCTGTAAGCTTTCTTAAGGTCATCGTCGCTGGCGCTTCTATCAACCTGTAGAACCTTGTAGTAATCCACACCCATCTCTCCTCCTCCTCCTTCTTCTCCTTCTCTCTTTCGTTTCTTCACTTTTCCCTCAATTTAATTACTAATTTAGGGCTCCTTTCTCTTCTTCCTTCCTCTTTCACATACTATAGTAGAGAATCTCGTGGAAAGTTCGGGAACATTAACGGTGGCTCTATCTATCTCTCTGTCTTGACGGGCGGGTGACGGTGTTTGCCCTCTTTGTTTTTTCCATTATTACATAAATAAATATTTTAAATATCAGTTTTATTTTTGTCGGCCCATTAATAACCCAAATTATTAATGGGCCAAGCCCATGATAGAATTCTTGATCGAGGGGTAAGCTTCTCCGTATATTAACCTGTATTTGTTTCCGATAATTGTTTATTCCACAGTTCACCTGAGTTCCGGAAGAAAGGCATCGTTCGTTCCTCTCTAAATTGCAGTCTCCAGAGTTAGGGTTTTACTCGATTGTTTCCGATTCTTCACAGCTTGATCGGGTGTTAGTTTGATTTTGAGATGGCTCCAGTTCCGGATCCGAATAACGTTGGTGGTGGTGCGAAGCGGGATGAAGCTACGATGAAGGTTCCTTCAAAGGATCCAAAGAAGAAAGATGATAAGAAGGAGGAAGATCTCGTAAGCTCTATTCGTTCGATTTTTGCATTCTCTTTTGAAAATTTTCACTTGGATTTGGAGTTAGTTGTAGTTTTTTAGCATCTAGGGAGTTTAGATTAGAATGAAGCTCCATGATTAGTTGTAGATTTTGCAATAATGTAGCTGATTTTTCGGATAGTTAGGGTTTAGCTGATATTGCAATTTGGAAACCACTGTTAATTTTTTGTACGGGCTAGGTTTTAGCCACTTTTAAAAGCTATTTTGATTACTAGATGACTTAGTTTGCATCTGATTTCTGATTGTAGTCTGAAGAGGATTTGGAACTAAAGCATAATCTGGAGCTCTATGTTGAGAGGGTTCAGGACCCCAATCCTGAGTTGCAGAAGGCCGCTCTTGAAAGCATGAGGTAATTCTTGTATCTTTCTCTTAACTGATCCCCAAGTTAATTAGCTAGATATGCTTAAAGATAATTTTCGTTGGAGCTCGTCTTCTGGACTTATGAGTTCTCTTGCTGCTTTCCCTACTGTGTTCATGATTTTTTCGTAGTCTGATCTTCATTTGGTCTACTCGTTTTGTGTGTAGGCAGGAAATCCGTGCGTCAACAAGCTCCATGACTTCAGTTCCCAAACCCCTCAAGTTTCTTCGTCCTCATTATGGGACTCTTAAGGAGTTCCATCAAAAAATGGCGGAGTCTGATCTCAAGGTAAGTCGTCTGTCATTTTAGGAAATTATTATCTCTTTGCTCTTTCTACGGTGTATTGGATGAAGATGAACATTCATGTATTTGCAGAAATTGTTGGCTGATATACTATCTGTCCTGGCGCTGACCATGTCTGCTGAGGGTGAAAGGGTATGCTTTCTTGCTGTTTTTGTAGGAATTTCTTAGTAAAAACATATTTTCGTGTCCTTTGCTTCATATTCACATCACTGGATTCCTTTTTGCGTTCTATGTTTTCCTCTTACGTTATACGTGAATGGATATATATATTGATGGTCCTTTGTTCTACATTACTCTTTCAGGAAAGCTTAGGATTTAGGTTAACTGGATCAGGAGGTGACATCGGATCGTGGGGTCACGAGTATGTCAGGAATTTGGCCGGAGAGATTGCAGAAGAGTATACAATGCGTCAGGTTAGTAAATAGATTGGCCTTTGGCAATATTGTGTTGCTTGAGGAGTTTTACGCATATTGTAACAAGGCCATGATGGTTTATGTTTGGGTTTTCTCTGCTGGTTCGTTAATCAACATAATAACAGTGTGCCTTCTATCTCTTTTTAGTTTTTCTGTTTTCTTTTCGAATATGGTTATGCGATTGCTCTTTTTCTTGTTATACCAGAGTGAGGAGGCCTCTGTTGAGGACTTGATGGATCTTGTGAAGCAAATTGTTGCATTTCACATGAAGGTTAGATCCTCGTCAGGCTTACTTTTCTTGATTCGATGGCCCCTTGTAATAAAAAGGATATATAGTATAAAATAAGAAACTCTCATTTATAAGCTTCAGACTTGCACCACTTTTTTTTGCTACCTCTGAAGGATTTCATTTTGTTCATTGCAGCATAATGCAGAAACCGAAGCTGTTGACCTCTTAATGGATGTTGAGGATCTTGATCTCTTACTTGAGCATGTAGACCGCACAAATTTCAGAAGGACGTGCAACTATCTCACGAGTTCAGCAAAGTAACTATATATGAGCATCTTATTCATGTCACTGTTGTTACACAAATTTGATAGCTCATTCTTTATTATGAGACCAGCTCTCATGAGCTTTGCTTGGTGTATATTTTTGTTTTTCTTTTCAGGTTCCTTCCAGGACCGGATGACATGCTGGTTCTAGATATTGCTTACATGATCTACATTAAGTTTGAGGAATATCCAAACGCTCTGCAAGTTGCACTATTTCTTGATAACATGCAGGTCTGGGATCTAATCTTCCTACAGAACTTAGTATCCTCTCTCTGCACCATGCGGGCAGCTGAAAAAAGCTTTCCTCTACGTGATGTATTGTTCTTACATGATATATATTTTCCGTATTGCAGTATGTGAAGCAAATATTTACCTCATGCACTGATCTACTAAGAAAGAAACAGTTCTGCTACATGATTTCACGTCATGTAAGGGCTTAATGATTAACATTACTATAGAGATTTAGTACGATAATCCACTTTCTCATGGCTCTTTTTCTCTTGTTATTCCTCCATGCAGGGCATCACCTTTGAGCTCGACTCTGAGATGGTTGCAGACAAGGATGACAGAGATATGCTGCAGGATATTGTTAACAACACTAAGTTAAGTGAAGGATATCTTACACTTGCAAGGGATATTGAGGTCATGGAGGCCAAGACGCCTGAAGACATCTACAAGGTATATCAGTTATATCAAATATTACGCCTGTTACTCTGGTGTATTGGTACAGAATCTGGTTTTGTCAGCGTCTCTTATCTATTCAATGAAAATTTTGCAGGCTCACTTGCTTGATGGCAGGGCTAGCTCTGGCACAAGTGTGGATTCTGCTAGACAAAATCTTGCTGCGACTTTTGTGAATGCATTTGTAAATGCTGGTTTCGGCCAGGTATGATTACAGATTCTTTTGCAGCGATGAGTGAGAAGAAATTTGTAAGCTCGGCCTACCCTTTTGATAAATTCTACTTATTGCAGGACAAATTAATGACATTACCATCGGACGCATCTAGTGGCTCTGCTGGAAACTGGCTCTTCAAAAATAAAGAACATGGCAAGACCAGTGCAGCTGCTAGCCTGGTATGCGTTACGTGATAGATTGACTAGCTGTGTTCATATCTTGGAAGTGAAAATTGTAACAGAACCTCGTTGTTTCCCATTCTAGGGTATGATTTTATTGTGGGATGTGGACTCCGGACTTACCCAACTTGACAAATATTTTCATAGCACTGATAATCCCGTCCTCGCTGGAGCTCTGCTAGGTGTTGGGATTAATAATTGTGGCATTAAAAGTGATTGTGATCCTGTGAGTTGATTTCCTTTATAATTTATTAATTCTTTTTGGAACCTCTGTGCTCGTTGTATATTGCCATTCTTACTCACATTTCTTTCTCAGGCATTGGCCCTTCTTGGAGAATATATTGATAACGAGGATTCATCTGTCCGAATTGGTGCTATTATGGGTCTCGGGATCGCATATGCCGGCTCTCAAAATGATCAGGTGAAGATCTTTTATCTACAATGTTAGGTTAGCTGTTCTGTTGACGAGACAATAACATGATCACTGTTTGGACAGATAAGAAGCAGCTTGTCTCCAATACTGAATGACGCTAAAGCACCTCTCGATGTGATTGCTTTTGCTGCACTTAGTTTGGGGATGATTTATGTTGGTTCGTGTAACGAAGAGGTTGCACAATCTATTATATTTGCTTTGATGGATCGGAGTGAGGCACAACTGGGTGATGCCCTTACTCGTTTCTTGCCTCTTGGACTTGGACTTTTGTACCTTGGCAAACAGGTAGAAAACGAGTTGTACTTGATTAATTTCTTGTTTGTTTACCCGATTGTTATTTCCCTCGGTTATCAGTGTCAACTTGTTCCAATATCGAGCAGGAAAGTGTGGAAGCTACTGCGGAGGTCTCAAAGACATTCGATGAGAAAATCAGAAAGTATTGTGATATGACGCTTCTTTCCTGTGCGTATGCTGGAACCGGGAATGTCCTTAAGGTATCTGATTAATTGTACTGGTGGTTGAATTACATAGTTTGTTGCTTTCTACTTTAGTTCCTGACAGTTCTTCTTTCAGGTCCAAGACCTTCTGGCTCAGTGTGGAGAGCATCTGGAGAAAGGTGATATCCACCAGGGCCCAGCTGTGCTTGGATTAGCGATGGTTGCTATGTCTGAGGAATTGGGTCTTGATATGGCAATCCGTTCTCTGGAGCGCGTGCTACAGTATGGAGAACAAAACATTCGGCGGGCAGTGCCTTTGGCCCTTGGTCTCCTCTGTATATCAAACCCAAAGGTGAATATACTTATTTCTTTCTTAAATCTGATTTTACTTTTCCCCTTAAGAATACTGTTGTTACTCTCTAATCTTATCCATAATTCCAGGTGAATGTTATGGACACCTTGAGCCGGCTTAGCCATGACACAGATTCAGAAGTTGCCATGGTGAGTTGTCTTTCCACCACTCATAATTATTTTCACTGGACTTGATTTGCAGCGTTGGACTTATGTTTCATCTGACTCCTTCAGGCAGCGATAATTTCCCTTGGTTTGATTGGCGCTGGGACCAACAATGCAAGGATTGCTGGCATGCTTAGAAATCTCTCAAGCTATTATTACAAGGATGCCAGCCTTCTCTTCTGTGTAATGTGTTAATTTTTGTTTTTTGGTTTTGTGCAGTGAACACAGTTTCTACTGATTAGGCTAGTTCTCATCGTGTTAAGTGGCAATGCAGGTGCGTATTGCTCAAGGATTTGTGCATATGGGAAAGGGTCTCTTAACTCTCAGTCCCTTCCACTCTGAACGGCTATTGCTATCCCCGTAAGTTTGAACAAGTATTTTGTGAATACTTATCTTTTAAATCTCCATCCTGTGAATCTTAAACATGGGTGTTGTATTATTTTTTTGGTATCCAGAACCGCGCTTGCTGGTATAGTGACATTGCTGCATGCATGCCTTGATATGAAATCCATCATACTGGGGAAATACCACTATGTTCTCTACTTCCTCGTTTTGGCGATGCAGGTGAGTGCAATGTTCTATGTTGAGTACCTTGTTTCTTTTGTCAATTGGATTTAAGCGAGGTTTTTATCTACTAACACAACAATACGGTCTGAATGTAGCCAAGGATGATGCTAACGGTGGATGAGAACCTGAAACCCATTTCGGTACCAGTGCGGGTAGGACAAGCAGTTGACGTGGTTGGACAGGCAGGCCGACCAAAAACAATCACTGGGTTCCAAACACACTCTACACCTGTTCTCCTTGCTGCTGGGGAGAGAGCCGAACTCGCAACAGACAAGTACGTTGTTTCCTCTAAACCATTTTCCTACTAGAAATTAAACTTCGTTATACACTTTGGGTTCTAAAAACTCCGGCCGTTTTTGTTATGGGGTCACAGGTACATTCCATTGTCTCCCATACTAGAAGGTTTCATCATACTGAAAGAAAATCCAGACTACAGAGAGGAGTGAATCCAAAACTCGAAGTGCCCAGCATTTGGATAATACTTTCTATATGGTTTTTAGTTTAATCACTTCTATGTTTCCAGGAACTGGCTTAGTTAACACTTTCCTTTTGTTAAACCGCTTATTGTGCACTTTTATCTTTCTAAAGTTGGATAATTTAAAGAAAAAAAAAATCTAATGTTTTTTATACAGCTCCTCCAAAACTAATCGCTATACTTCTCCTTAAGCTTTTTCTTTTCTTTTCTTTCATGCATTGTTCGCACTCCAACTTTAATTTGTCACATATGCTAAGGCTTCTTGTTGTCTTCATGCATGATTTGGCATAAACTATGTAATATAAAATGGTAGGCTGGCTACAGATACATATATGGCGTGCACGACTCACTCGTTTACATCATATTTTGTTGTTGCTTTGTTGGTGTGTATATCTTTGTTTCCAACTACCACAATCCATTCTCTCATAAAAGCGATTACAAAAAAAGTCTTATTGAAATTAACAACCAAAACAGTTATGATATGTACATGTATATTGATGGTTTAGTTTTTGCTACTAAGTCTGTAATTTCCGTAGACAAAAGAAAAGAAAACGAACAAAAGAATCAAATGAATGGAATACAGTTTTTAACGGTTTGTTTTTGGTAACCATATGTTATATCGACGCTAATGGATCTCCTCCAGCTAGAAAAGAAAAGAAAAAATTAGTTTAATGGCCGCGACCTCTTGGACTCGGACCCGAAGCCAAACGCTGAAACCAGTAATCTACCGTCGACTTCATCTTGTCCACCCTCATCACCGTCGCTCTTCCGTCTCCCAACTTCTCCGTTAGAATCCTTCCCGCCTCGGCCGGAAGCACTACGTGTTCCACCACCAACAACGACACCATCATCACCACGATCAAAACAGTAGACCAGCTAACTCTCCTCATTTGGTTTTGCTTTCTCTTCTTTAAGTTGTACTGTCAACAAAGAAAACAGAAAGGAGCTTCGAAGTAGTCAGGTAATAAACTTTTATATATTATTTCTCAGGGAGAAAAGTTTTTCTTTTTGTTTGTTTGGTTTTGAAGTTATGGTTATGTTGTTAAATGAGAGGGAGTATGTCTATATATATATACTTTAGTTACGAGGAAGAGGTCATGACACAAGAGTTCATCACTTAGGTCGGATTTTACCGGCGCCATCTCACGACTGGCGTGTTGACCAAGTAGTATGGTTTGAACGGGTCGCTTTATAGCACTTTACCCTGTAAATTACATTGATACCCCATATACGGGTAGCATTTTTGTTATATTTACGCGGTTATAATTCTATACAACTAGTTTTAAAATCTAATATGCAATTTTCGTAAGATAGTATGCTTTTTATTTAGTTTATTTTCTAATGAGACAAATAGTCATATTTAACAATGATCATTTTACACTAGATCTTGTAAACAATTAAATATTTTCAGATTTTATCTATATACTGTAACAAAACATACGAGTGGAATATTTCGATGCGGAAGATTTTGCACATTTATATCACAAAAGAAACATACAGGCTTCCTTTTGTAATGAAATGTCAATGCTTGAGTTTTGAGACTAAACGCGTAACTCCCGGTTTGACTAGTTGAAGCAGCGCAAGAGGACCAATTCACAGTTTCACCTAAATAACTCTCTTACCAGTAAAAGAAAAATAAAAACTTTTACCAGATTCGGTTGAGGGAGAACATTAAATTAATAACAGCTTTTTTTGTTGAATATAATTTAACATCATTCAAAATAATAATAATAATAATCACACATTACAGATGTAAGTAGGCTGAACAATTGACGTGTAATATAAAAATTACGCATGCATTGTGTATAAGTTTATTTAGTGAGATTTTGGATGATAAGAAATATACAAAGAAGTGTTTGGTTGGTAAGTTTTCCTGTTTAAATACTTGGAAAACTCATGTGGTTTGCATGTGTTTAGTTTAATGTTCAATAGAAAATGATAACTAGCTTATAGTCACATAAGCATATCTATTCATATAATTCAACAGTTTTTTTCTAAAAATGTGTGCATCTAACTAAGACTGTTGATTTTAAAGAAGGCTTAATATTCAACACATGAGGATTTGACATTTTCCTAATGTTAGGGATAATATGCTTTGTGCTACTGCTAACAAACTAGTAATAGTCCGAAAAGAGATATTTTTTCAAAGCTCATGTCTATTTTTATTTTTATAACCAGAAAAATTGGACTTGTTGGCGGAAAATCAGAGCATGTCAAATATGAATATATAATTTATTGAATTTGGAGATATGCACCTGTTTTAGGATAAAGAAATTCATATAGAATGATTTATTCTGTGCGTCAAACAAAAAAAAAGTTTATTTCAAATACATATTCACTACAAGAATTATATACGGCCCAGTGGCCCACTAAGACCACCTTATATCGGCCCCATTGTCTCTTTGCAATTAGGTCTCAGCGAATCAAGAGAGTTTTCAGTGGGGGGAACTGACTCTGTAATATGTCTGGTTTAATCCTGGCGAGCCTAATATATTGGCGACATCTGCTATATCGCCATATGTTATCAGTGACTAACTATTGCCACCAATCTCAGATCAACAACTAGTGAAATTTACCTGTGAATAAACGGTTCTTGAGACTAGTCAGGTTCCAGAACGCAGTGATCAAACTAGCTGTGATTTTTCAAATCTATGTTGCCAGCTTTGGAGATTGTCAAAAGATTAAACGTTTAACGTTGTGGATATTGTGAAATAGAGTATCACGCACCTGCCTAGATCTATATTCAAAGCAATTAAGGAAATGAAAGCCATGAAAGATTGTGTTGGTATAGTAAGAGTAAATATGAATATGTTTTCTCTGTTGTAAGCCTCTCTCTACTAATATCGTGTTAATATGTTGACTTCAAAGATCTACAAATACGATGATTCTACTTCCGACTTGCTAGAAGCCAACAAGTTTATGTTAGAGTTTCGCAAAAGAACACCAAGAATAAATAAGGAGATCCTGACTTGAAGTTATAGGTAAAAAAACAAAGCATTCCTACAAGCAAGCATCAGAAGAACTAAATCAAAGACACTCACGGTAGAAGAAGAATCATAACCCTCTTAACTTCCATAACACACACTAAAGAAGATCACTGATCATTAACGTTAATCAGTTCATACTCAACAAGAGACAGATTGTTATCCTCCTTGACAGTGAAAGATGCTGGCTCAGTGGCTTCAATGCGTCCCCATTTATCAACCCCAAGCCTCATCGTACCCTTGAACATATCTATCCTCGAGTTGCGCAGTATCACCGTCTCTCCAGGCTTCATAACATCAACTACACAACAACAACAACAAAACATGAATCAATCCAATCAATAAGCCACATGGATTCCACAAAAGCTGATACAAAACTAATCATGTCACACCAAACACTGAACCAAGTACTAATAAAGATTTTCGGAAATGAAATAACACAAAACATCAAAGCCACAAAATTGCACACAGACAAAACACAAGTCTATTTTTCAGACAAAGATGATAGCTTTTTGCAATATATCACCAACGATCAAACATCAAAAGCATTAATTTACACAAAGACATCACTAAAGACAAAAACACTACTCTTAAGCAAAATATGTTCCCTTTTTCAGACAAAGATGATAACTTTTAGCAAAAGATCAGCCTTTTACAATACCACAAACACCATTTTCTACAAATCCTAAAAGCACAAGACACAAGAGTGTGAGTAAAAACCTTGATCGTTACGAGCAGTGAAGAGAATACACCCAGTCTCATCTCCAATAAGACACTCAGCGATTCGAGTAGGCTGAGAAGGACGGCTCATAGAACTACCCGGACGAGTCTTACGGTTAGTCGGAGCCACCGGGTTGGAATCAACGACCTTAACAGTCAACGTGTGACCGGTCGTTCCAGGAGACAGCTGTTCAACTTTCACAAACACAGGCTTCCTCTTCGCCGTCACAGTTCCTGTAGTCGCCATCTCTCTCAGAAAATAATATCAGTAACCCTAATGGTGGAAATCTAGGGTTTATAAAGAGAGAGATGAGAAAATGATGCTTCTTTCTTTTCGCTCTCTCCCGAGAAGACGGACTAGAGAGTGTTTTTTATCCTCTGCTTTGCGTTATCGTGAGGTTGACACGTGTGATGTTTTGATTCGATATTTTTATTTGTCACAGTCTTTAATGAAAAAGATATTTATTCGTTACATTAATGTTGTTAAGAGAAAACAAGTTAAGAGAAAACAAGTTTCAATACACTTTAAGAGAAAACTACTTTGGTGGTGCTTCGGTGTCTGCAGCCACTACTACTAACGCTTGCTCTTCTTCTATTGGTTGCTGCGGTGGAGACGGTGGAGGAGATGGTGACTTCTCTTCCGGTTGCTCCGTGTTAGTTTGTTCTTGAAGCTTTTCCTCATCTTCTTCGGAGTCTAACTGTACGTTCTGCCATTTGTATCTGATGACTACCACAATGATGAACACTGCAAAGTATGTAGAGAATATCAGTTTTGGAAAGTGACGTACTACTGTCGAGATGCTCAGATCATATAGTGAAGTTTTTACCTGTGAAGAAACGGATCTTGAGACTAGTCAGGTTCCAGAAGGCAGTGATCATAGAGCCTGCCACGAACTTCTTGTGTGTACAGATTCCCCACGCTTCAACTAATCTCTTTTGTGCATTCTCAACTACACAAGAGAAAACATCTTTTCATTTTACTTCACTAAGTCCATCAAAAGAGTGACTAAAGATCTGATGATAGAGAGTTTACCTTTTTGGTTAATCTGATTAGCATAACATGAATATAGCTTTGGAACGGTGAAGCTGAGGAAGAAACCTGTTTCCGTAACAATGCCATACTTTTGTGTCAGTTCTACTACTAGAACACAAAGAATCAGTTGAGAACAGTGTTAATATCTTAGTGTTCCAACAATCATATACCTAAAGCACATAGCCTCCACAGTGTTATGAGGTAACCATACTCCGCTCCTATTAGAACAAAGGGTGCCACCTGCAATCAAAGTAAAAGAACAGAATAAGAACAAAAGCAACAGATTCGTAGAGAAAAGTTTTATGGGAATGAAGCTTTTAGTAAATTGTACTCTGAGTGTCATTGCTGGTTCGCCAGAGAAAAGCTCCCTAGTCTTTGAAATCGCCAAATTGGTGATAGGAAGCATTCTTTTAGCTACTCGTAATACATCCTCTTCACTCACTTTAACCTCTCTCTTGGCTGCTTCTTCAGTTACCCTTTAAGATGTAACAAATTGATCAAACCTTCAACTACAATCTGTTTCATCTCATGTACAAAACGAACTCAACAACAAAGATCGTACCTTGGGCGAAGAGTGTGTGACAAAAACGATACCCCAAGAAACAAGAGTCCAACATGAGAGACCACTGAGAAAACACTTCAAACACACACACAAAGATAAAAATTAGAGAATAATTTTAAAGCTATGAAAGATAAAAAATTAGAGAGTGAACTCAATGTACGTACCTAAAGCTAAACCCTCTAGCAAAGCAAGAAGAGAGGAAACACAAACACCCAAAACCGAACCAAAGAGTCGACTTTGCAACATCTCTCCACATGATCAGATCGTTGATATTCTCTCTAATCCGCTCCAAATCACCTTGACAAACATCTTCACCTGTTTTTACAAAAACCACACACAGTTATTAACTATAACCGAACCAAATTTTTTTTGACATAACTCTGTTAGAACCTACTTAGATCTGAAGAAACACAAGGAGGAGAAGGCAACGAAGGAACAAAACTCTGTTTCTCCTTCTTAGACCGACCAGTCTTCTTACACTTCCTCTGTTTCGTAGCCTTCTCATCGTTCAACACAACAACACCCTTCGGCTCCTCCATCACTTCCGACCTCCGTCTCGATCTCCGGCAATTCCTCGGCGAGGCACAACTCTGCCCTCCCTTCGTCTTACACCGCCTCGCAGCCGCAACAGCCTCCGCAGCTTCCATTTCGAACCGATTCGCTAGACGGGTTCTCGATTTCCGGAGAGGAGAAGGAGACAAGAGAAGAATCTCTCGGAGTGTAACAGGGGAAGACGGAGAGTAGAGAGAAGCCGGAGAAGGGTAAGGAGTATCGTTGCTCTTGGGAGAGGAGAGGACCAAATCGAGAGATGGGATGGGAGAGTCTCCATTGGTTTTGACGAGAGTGTTGTTGATTCTCCGAGCGAGATGGGAGGAGGGTCTAGGGTTTGAGCGGAGGGAAGGAGGTGTTGAAAGATCCATTCTTTATGAAAAAGGATTGATTTTTAAGAATCTGAAGTTTATTAATTGAGAAGAATCTGAGAGGATTTATTAGGTTTCTATTCAGACATTTGAGCTTTTGGGTTTTTTGAGGAATGTCTCTGCTTTCACCGGATACTGTGGATGAGATAGCCGTTGATGGAAAGAAAAAGACAACCTTTGCTTATTTGAATCTTGACGGCGGCAAAAGTGGGCTCCCGTCTCTTTTAACGGTAAAGATGATAGGACATGCCGACATGGAAAGCTTTTTATTTTTAAATTCCATTACATATGTATGTTTATTATTTTTCTACCTTTTTAAGTTGATGTTTTGAATAAAACAAATGAATCTGATTTGTATGTAAAAATAGAGTTTTGTAAGTGAAATGCATGCAATGAACATCACATGTGTTACATATTTATTTGGTTGTGTGTAGTAAGTCTTGTATACAAGACTGGTATTTAGATTTCTCCATTGTACTTAGCTTGAAGAGAAGCCTCTGTTTTCTTAAGATGGCGTTGGCAGAATCTGCTGAGCCTCTCAAGTGCATCCTCAAGCATCCGGCCTTCTACTCCGATCGTTATCCTTGCCCAATTCTTCAGTCCCAAAGCCACTCCTGCAACACCAAGAATAAGTTAAAACTACTACTAAACTTTCAAATGAATTTCTTGTGTACTCATTTGTATGCATTTCTAATAGGTGATGATTACCTGGTAGCAAAACTAGGTTTTCTTCTGCGGCTAGCTTCATACAGAAATCCATATCATCCTCTATGTCTTCCATCAACGGAAGCTCCAGCTTTGTCTACAATATATTTGTTTTTATAAGAGGAGACATTCAAAAAATAGATCAAGAATCATCAGGAGCATATAGATAGATGTTTGTGGTACCAATAAGTAAGTGCATGACTCAGGTTTCTTGGTGCAGACCAGACAAGGAATGTCCTCTAGCCTATCACAAACTAAATCCACATTCTGTTTTAGTATTGAGTTCTTTTTAGCAAACATCTCTTTATTAGACTTCTCCAGGATCTGAGGAAGTGCATTCTGAACCAAAGTGTTGGCGTCTGGAGTTATGTCAAGATTCTGTTGGATAGATTGAGCCACCTGCCATAAGCAAAAAATAAAGAACATAGTCATTACTTGTAACACAAGCTACAAAAACCAATAGCTACAATAATGATCAGAAAGAGAGAGAAAAAAAAGACAAACCCCTGTGGACTTGAAGATGCCTTTAGGATCATTCAAAGCGATCCAACCAATTCTCCAACCAGGAACAATCCATCCTTTCGATAAACCACCCAAAGTGATAACCGGAGCTATCGAACCAAACTCTCCCATTGGAACAAAAGGATTGTCTCCAAAGATTGTCTGGCTATAAACCTCATCAGTGATCACCATAATCCCCAGCTTCCTAGCCATCTCCGCAACCTTCTTGAGATGATCGTAAGAATAAACATTTCCACAAGGGTTATTAGGGTTTATGATAACCATAGCGACAGTGTTCTCATCTGCCATAGCTTCAATGCCTTGGAGATCAATCTCCCATTCATTCTCGGGAAGGAGATCGTACTTGCGGACCTCGAGTCCACTGTAGACACAACGAGCCTCGTAGTGAGGGTAACTAGGCCGTGGGAGAAAGATGTTAGCGTTTGGTGCAGCCAGCGCCTGCATCAGAACTTCTATCCCTTGGTTGCATCCCACGGTCATATATACATCGTTAGGCGTTACTTTGTTCGTTAAGTCCCGGTTCACGAAATCAGCTACCGCCCTATTTTACAACACATTCCACCAAAGTTAACTAGTTGTGTATAAGCATATTTGTATCAATAAAATATTAATAATAAATATAACTATAAACATATCATATAAAAAGGGATTAAACTGTGGATACTAAAGAAAATACTTAAAAGAGTAAATGGTAAGAGTGAATATATATTACTGTCTAGCAGGGAGAATTCCGGCGGCAGGACCGTAAGAGTTACCCTTGCCGGAGCGGAGGACATCGGCGACGGCGTTTTCGACGTGGATGGAGGTGCGGTAACAAGGGTACACAGAAGGGTCACCGTGAGCAAGGGGTAAAAGAGGCTTTTTGATGTCTGGACTGCAGAGATCAAAGAGCTTGTAGACTATAACTCTCATTGTGACACTGGAGGCTTTAGCTGCCGTGTCGCTGCCTCTGAAACGCCAAACGCTGTTTTCGGACTCATGCTGCGTCTCTGCTTCTTCCTCGGTTTGATGGGAAGAAACTAGGAGGTGGCTCATTTTGTTAATTATATTGATTCTATTGGGAGTCTTGTGGAGTTTGAAATCTGAATGCTTATATGAAGAGGGCCAACAAAAGAAGTATTTATAGAGGAAAGAAAACAATCAAAAGTCTTCTAAGCAAATTTTTGATAGTCAATCGCAGACTTTCTGCACCTTTGAATTAAAGACTTCAGATGAAGGTTGATAATATATACTATATAGTATTATCGGTGTTGTAACAGAAAAATATAATACAAAATTGTGCTGACGTAAAATTTACATTGTTTGATGCTTTGCAAATGCTATATTCCGCAAAACAATTACCATATTATTATTATAAACCAGGGAATAGTTTGAACTGTCACGAAACGTAAGAAGTTGAATTATGAAACGTGAAAATATTGGTCCAGAGGACTTTTTAAAACTTACATGAAAGAATGACTGATTCTTCATTCTTCCGAGGCAAAACGAATATTGAAAGTATGTATTGTTATCTTAACAACAACTATAAGTGGAAGTGGTATTAAAGAAATGGTTTCATCGTTAATATTATTTATTCTCAACTCGTCATATATCAACTCCAACATGGTTAAAATATATATTAAGTTCGCGCCATCATGTTTTGACGCAACTCAAAAAACTGACGTTCTAACGGACAACTGGACAAGCATGGTTGCATACACATACGCGCGCAGACACAATAATACAAAGTTTGTAACATAATATGAGATAGAAAATGAACAGAGGACATACAAAAATAATAGATAGGGTCTCATCATGTACTGATTTGATGATGCTATAACATATACTGGTACCACTGAATCAAGTTTCTTGGGGTAAATGAGGCAAGTAGCCTCCTTGAGGGTATCTAACGTAATTAAAATGCAATAATTATAGAAAAACCCTAGTGGCATTCCTTAATTATTCCCATCACCTGTGCACATCTTTATTTGGTTGTGTATAGAAGAGTTGTGTCTATATTTCGCCATCGTCATTGAGCTTCAGATCTTGAAGCAAAGCTTCTGTTTTCTTCATATAGCGTTTGCAGAAGCCGTTGAGCCTCTCAAGTGCATCCTCAAGCATCTGAGGTTCTACTCCGATCGTTATCCTTATCCAGTTCTTTAATCCCAAAGCCACTCCTTCAAAACAAAACAAAAAAAAACCATCTTCAAACTTAAAACTACTTGACTCTCAAGTTTCATTTATATATACTCATTTGATTGCATTTTTATAGGTGTTACCTGGTAGCAAAACTAGGTTTTCTTCTTTAGCTAGCTTCATACAGAAATCCATATCATCCTCTATGTCATCCATCAAGGAAAGCTCCAGCTTTGCCTGCAGTATTATTAATGTTAAGAATCATCGAAATTGAAAAATAATCATCAAAACTATAGATAGAAGTTGGTGGTACCAATAAGTAAGTGCATGACTCAGGTTTCTTGGTGCAGACCACGCAAGGAATGTCATTAAGCCTATCACACACCAACTCCACGTTCTGTTTCAGTATCAAGTTCTTTTTTGCAAACGTCTCTTTATTCGACTTCTCCAGGATCTCTGGAAGCGCAAACTGAAACATTGTGGTAGCGTCTGGATTTATGTCAATATTCTGTTGGATTGATTGAGCCACCTGTTAGAAGGAAAACAGAGTGATTACTTGTAAGACAAGAAACGTATATTACTATGATGAACAAAGAAAGAAAAAAACAGACCCCTGTGGACTTAAAAATGCCTTTGGGATCATTCAAAGCGATCCAACCAATTCTCCAACCAGGAACTATCCATCCTTTAGATATACTACCCAAAGTGATAACCGGAGCTATCAAAGAAAACTCCCCCATCGGAACAAAAGGGTTGTCTCCATAGATTGTCTCTCTATAAACTTCATCAGCTATCACCATTATTCCCAGCTTCCTAGCCATCTCCGCAACCTACAAAAAAGTTCCATTAATCACAAACAATATACAATATCCCTCTAATCAAATCTTATTAGAATTATGAATTAATACCTTCTTGAGATGATCATGAGAATAGACATTTCCACAAGGGTTGTTAGGGTTAATGATAACCATAGCGACAGTGTTCTCATCTGCCATGGCTTCGATGCCTTGGAGATCAATGTCCCACTCTTGCTCGGGAAGGAGATCGTACTTGCGGACCTCAAGTCCACTGAAGATGGAACGAGCCTCGAAGTGAGCGTAACTAGGCCGTGGGAGAAGGATGTTAGCATTTGGTAGAGCCAGCGAATGGATCACCGCTTCTGTCCCTTGGTTGCATCCCACGGTCATATATATATCGCTAGACGTTACCTTGTTCGTCAAGTCACGGTTCACATAGTCAGCTACCGCCCTGATTAACAAACACATTCCAACAAAGTTAGTTGCACATACTAAAGAACATAGCACCGTCCAGTGAAATATTATTCTTGTTTCTCTTTTTTTTTTTCTGAGTATATATATAGCATATTTGGTATTGACATGTTTTTAGTTTTATTACAGCCAAACCTGTGTAAACAAAATACAATTTTTTAATATTATTAATAAAGGAAAATAATTGCATGTAATATAATTTTATAACAAATGTATTCCCCCAAAAGAAATTGTAAATGGTTTTTATTAAAGATTATCTTAATATTTAATTTTATAAATGAGTTTCTGTGTGCATGGATTCTTTACCAAGTTGTTTTACAGAAAATTTAAGTAAAAAAGGGAATAGTTACTGTCTGGCGGGGAGAATTCCGGCGGCTGGGCCGTAGGAGTTACCCTTGCCGGAGCGGATGACATCAACGACGGCGTTCTCGACGTGGATGGAGGTGCGGAAACAAGGGTACACAGCAGGATCACCGTGGCCAAGTGGTAAAATAGTCTTTTTGTTTTCGGGACTGCAAAGATCGAAGAGCTTGTAGACGATAACTCTCATCATCACGCTGCTTGCTTTAGCTGCCGAGTCACTCCCCTTGAACCGCCAAACGTTGTTGTCAGAAGCATCCTACGTTTGAGTCGCTGCTTCTTCCTCGGTTTGAAGGTTAGGAACTATGAGGTGGTTGTAGTAGCTCATTGTGAATTGAGTCGCTGAGAGTCTTGTAGAGTTTAAAAACCTGAATGGGTATAATATGAAGAAGGCAACAAAGAGTATTTATAGAAGAAAAGTTTTAGTAGTCAGTCCACATAGTTTCTACACTATAGACGTTGGATTAAAAGGTTGGTGTTGTTTGATCAAAAAAAAAAAAAAGGTTGGTGTTGTTGATTATAGAGATTCTCTCACGTTATAAGCGACAATCTCAAAACAAGAATAATCTTTTATTTTTGTCTATTTTTGATTATTGTGTTTCCATGCATATATAGTGTTAAAATTACAGATCTACACTTCTCAATCTGTATGTCTCTCTGTCCACGTCCGGTGCTTGGCATCATACATCAATTATATATGTCAGTCGATCTGTTCAACCTAATATTCTTATTATTTAATCTCCCACGTTATACGTTCGGAACCTTACCTAAAGTATCACTGATTTATATTACATCGACTATACAATGATAAGATAACTACAATTTTTTCACTGAATTCCAAATTAAGATCATAATCACCAATAACGTAACTTGCACATGTTTGGACTATTGTCGTTTTTAAATTTTTGTTTTTTGAACTTGTTAATTTAAAGTATTCGTTGGGTAGACATCGCACCTATATCAGATTTCTTTCTCTCGGTTTGCTTTTATTTTTGACAGCCGAGTCAATATTCTCTCATACGAAGACATGAATAAGATTAAACATAGATATATTTTAGGAATAGACTAATCCTTCATATGCATGATTCAGGGGTACGTCTTATTAGGTTTATGAATTATGATACGAAATGGCCATTCACGAGGTGTTTTAGTGTTTATAGTTCTTGTTAGTTGTTTTTTTTCGCAACTGCCCTGAACCACATGCTTCATTGACTTTTATTCAGACACAGCCCTGGTTACGAGAAACATCGAGATTCTCATTTGTCATTTCAAATGTATTCTGAATATGTTGAACCGTTGTTATATACTCGTTAACAAGATAACTTATAACTTATACTCGTTGTATTCAGTTGATCATTTAAAAAAAAAAAAAATCAAAATTTGATGTCTGAATAGAAATTTGAATAAGAAACTATTTCTATGTTGAAACCAATTCTTATTAGCTTAATGGGCTGAGTAAGAGATTGAATCTGAATAGAATTTTTGTATAAACTCGATGAAATGAGTAAAAGTTGATTTTATGTAAATAATTATGGATATTACTAAATTCATTTTGGTAGTCCAATGGATTGAGTAAATTGATGTTTTTGGATTTTTGAAGTGAAAAAATAAGACTTTAAAATAAGAAAATATAATGACTAACTTAACAAATTTAGTGATTAAAGGTAGTAAATTTGTTGACCAAGACTCTTGAGTCTTGACCAAGACTCTGTACCAAGATAAGTTAAGCTTAGTGATTAAATGTAGTATATTTGTTGACCAAGACTCTTGAGTCTTGACCAAGACTCTGCACCAAGATTCTATACTGAGGTAAGTTAAACTTAGTGATTAAAGATAGTACATTTGTTGATCAAGACTCAAGAATCTTGGTCGCACCAAGGTAAATTAAACTTAGTGACTAAAGTTAGTACATTTGTTGACCAAGACTCTTGAGTCTTGACCAAGACTCTGCACCAAGACTTTGTACCAAGACTTTGCACCAAGACTCTGCACCAAGGTAAATTAAACTTAGTGATTAAAGATAGTACATTTATTGACCAAGATTCACCAAGACTCTTGAGTCTTGACCAAGACTCTGCACCAAGGCAAGCCAACTTAATAACCAAGTTAAACCATTTTAATGACCACACTATTTACACTACAAATACAACCATAATCTATTCACAAAATTATCATCTCACAACAACAACAACAAAAAAAAAGAAGCTTTGTCACAATTTTTTTAACTCTTTAGATCTTTTTAACGTAAGTGTTTCTCATATATTTTGTTTTCAGGTGTTCTGAAAAAGTCTCATCATTGAGATTCATATCTTCATTCCGTGAATCCATCTATTTTTTACGATTTATTAAACGTTTTTATAATTTATATTATCATTATCATCTTGATTTTGTTTCGTGATTTTCAATTAGCATTTTTCGCTGGCATACGTTCTTACCGTTTTAAGTTCGAAAATAGTTAGAGCACGCGGCCAAAAAAGTATACGTTCTTACCGTTTTATGTTTTGAAAATAGTTAACACGCGGCCACAAACTATTTAAAGTTTAAACCATGCATGCGTTACTGAATTAAATGTTCTGTTACACATTTGCAGTATGTAAGATATCCATACACGCCCACATCAAAACAAAATTAACAAGCCAAGGAAAATTTTGTAAACAGGTTAAGATGATGATGAAAGTAGCAGCGTTTGCGATCGTTACGTGCCTTTTGGTTGCAAACGCCGACCGTCCTTGGCCACCTGAGTGCATAGAGGAGGTTACAGTGATAATGGGAGAGTGCAAGTTGTTCTTTGTCGAACATGAGCCTACTCCCACCGCCGAGTGCTGCGGCTGGTTCAGTAGCCGCCGTGATAATGTGAAGGATAGGCGGCGGATTTGCCGGTGTATGGAGTTTCTTACCACAGCCTTTGGAGAAATCAGGTCAAGCGTTTTGGATCTTTCTGACCGGTGCCATTTAGGCGATGGCTTCCCCATGTCTAAAAACCATAAATGCCCTTGTAAGATCCATTCCTTTGACCAAACTCTTTAACGTTCTCTTGATTTTGGTTCGGTTAAACAAGATTGAACATATCTATAATCAAAGGTGCTGACAGTTTACTTATGTCATCTTGTTTTCTATCTCTGCAGAGTATGGAAAGATTCAAAAGAAGTAAACAAAGAATATCATGTTATTGTATCTCAAGGCTGTTTTAATTTCTTTTGTCATATATTTGTATGAAAATTAAACACACATTGCTAACATAAATATATTACATCTTCTGGGAAACATCAATTACTGATCTTACAAACACAACTTGAAACCAAAAAAAAAAAAATCTCAGTCTTGCAAACTTATAAACAAAAATTCTCTTTAAAAAAACAAACAAAGAATAAAGAGAGATTTAGTGGAACTTTACAACAATACAGGAGATGTCATCTTTGCTCTTCTTANTATATTACATCTTCTGGGAAACATCAATTACTGATCTTACAAACACAACTTGAAACCAAAAAAAAAAAAATCTCAGTCTTGCAAACTTATAAACAAAAATTCTCTTTAAAAAAACAAACAAAGAATAAAGAGAGATTTAGTGGAACTTTACAACAATACAGGAGATGTCATCTTTGCTCTTCTTAGATATAGCTTCCTCAAGAACTCATGGGAATCGTCAAGGACATTCGCAATCTCTCTTCTGTATTTGTTTCACTCTGTTTTTTTCATATTCCTAGAGAGAAGAACGGGGAAGCTGATGCGTTAGCAAAAGCAACTCTGAGAAACTCTATGTTGTAATGGACCCTTCTTGGGCTGGTTCATCTTTGGGCCTTCTTTTAATTAAATATTTTCAGTGACAAAAAAAAAGATATAGCTTCCTCTATCAAGTGCTTTGCTGCTGCTTGTGGATCTTTGATACTCTTGATAGCATCAACCGCTTCTTGGGTTGACATTACCTGCATTTAAAAAACATCAACAACAACTGAGTAAACCGGCGGTTTAAAACCAAAGCAAGAAGATCTCACTTGCCTTCCAAATACCATCACTAGCAAAAACGATGAACTCAGTCTGATCATCAATCGCCTGGTGAGTAATGTCTGGTTCTGAGCTCAGATGTATCTTTAAACTCTTATCTCCAAACGCTCTCGCAACAGCTAACTGTCCATCCACTCGTGGAACATCCCTCCCCTGCAACACTTCTTAAAAGTTAATATATACACCGTAATTAGTCAAGTAACGAATATATTAACTAGTGTATATAATAAACACACTAGGATGAACTTTGATTAATGTGAAAGAATTATAGAACACAGATTATCTCATTACAGTTTTAGTTTATCAAAAATATAACTAAAACATAGGAAAATAAATTAAATCAATGGATTTTATTTATATTTAACAATGTATACTATTAAAAACAAATAATTCTATATATATATTAATCCTCCCATATATAAATGTTTGATGTTATGTATATTTCACACATATTAAAAGTAAAATAAATAAATAAATATTTTTTTTACCAATGTTTCACTGTTTATTTTTTACTTTGTAATACTTAAAATATTCTATAATTTTAAGTTGATATTCTAGCTATGAAATTTATCATTACAAAAATTAAATCAATTAGTTAAACTAAAACTAGGATTTCTAATATATGTTTACAAATATCTGAACGATTGATTATATCTATTAAATTAAAAAAAAAACAACCGAGAACTAAATAGATACATATTCAAAATATATTTATATATATAAAAATATTAGTTATATTTAGTTTTAAAATGATTAAATATTCTAAAATATTATTTATAACAAATTAGCCAAAAATATGGATTACCATATTTAATAATTATTTTGAATTTTTTGATAAAAAAGTTACCTGAATATTTTTGATCTTTAAATTTATTAGAGTTATCCAGTATTTTGTACAAAAAATCTCAAAATACAATTTTACCCAAATTATTCGAAATTATCCCAAAATGGGAACTGAACCAAAAATAAATTACTCTAAATTTTATCAAATTTTTAACAATGTTATCCAAACCACATCCAAACAAAAATAGCCAAAATTAAACCAAGCTGATAAATAACAAAACTGTACTTCATATCTTTTGAACCGAAAAACTGAAAACTACACATGAACTAGAATCAACCAAAAATAAACAGCTGAACCGAAAATTAAACATCCATACCTAAACATATTAGTAAACAAATGAATGGAATAATAAATTTGTTAAAAAATTTAGTCTCGCGTTTTCAAAGCGCGTGTCAAAATCTAGTAAGACTTTAAAATAAGAAAATATAATGACTAAGTTAGAAAACTTAGTGATTAAAGATAGTACATTTGTTGACCAAGACTCTTGACCAAGACTCTGCACCAAGGCAAGCCAACTTAATAACCAAGTTAAACCAATTTAATGGCCACACTATTTACACTACAAATACAACCATAATCTATGCACAAAATTATTATCTCACAACAACAAAAAATAAGCTTTGTCACATTTTTTTTAACTCTTTAGATCTTTTTAACGTAAGTGTTTCTCATATATATTGTTTTCAGTTGTTCTGAAAAAGTCTCATCATTGAGATTCATATCTTGATTCCGTGAATCCATCTATTTTTTACGATTATTAGCATCTTGCTTTTGTTTCATGATTTTCATTTAGCATTTTCGCTGGCCTACGTACGTTCTTACCGTTTTATGTTTGGAAAATAGTTAGCACGCGGCCAAAAAAGTATACGTTCTTACCGTTTTATGTTTTGAAAATAATTAGCACGCGGCGACAAAGTATTTAAACCATGCATGCGTTACTGAATTAAATGTCCTGTTACACATTTGCAGTATATATATAAGATATCATACACGCCCACATCAAAACAAATTAACAAGTCACGGAAATTTTGTAAACAGGTTAAGATGATGATGAAAGTAGCAGCGTTTGCGATCGTTACGTGCCTTTTGGTTGTAGTCACAAACGCCGACCGTCCTTGGCCACCTGAGTGCCTAGAGGAGGTTAACGTGATAATGGGTGAGTGCAAGTTGTTCTTTGTCGAACATGAGCCTACTCCCACCGCCGAGTGCTGCAACTGGTTCAGTAGCCGCCGTGATAAACTGAAGGATAGGCGGCGGATTTGCCGGTGTATGGAGTTTCTTACCACAGCCTTTGGAGAAATCAAGTCGAGCGTTTTGGCTCTTTCTGACCGGTGCCATTTAGGCAATGGCTTCCCCATGTCTAAAAACCATAAATGCCCTTGTAAGATCTATTCCTTTGACTAAACTCTTTAACGTTCTCTTGATTTTGGTTCGGTTAAACAAGATTGAACATATCTATAACCAAAGGTGCTGACAGTTTACTTATGTCATCTTGTTTTCTATCTCTGCAGAGTATGGAAAGATTCAAAAGAAGTAAACAAAGAATATCATGTTATTGTATCTCAAGGCTGTTTTAATTTCTTTTGTCATATATTTGTATGAAAATTAAACACATATTGCTAACATAAATATATTACATCTTCTGGGAAACATCAATTACTGATCTTACAAACACAACTTGAAACCAAAAAAAAAAAAATCTCAGTCTTGCAAACTTATAAACAAAAATTCTCTTTAAAAAAACAAACAAAGAATAAAGAGAGATTTAGTGGAACTTTACAACAATACAGGAGATGTCATCTTTGCTCTTCTTANTATATTACATCTTCTGGGAAACATCAATTACTGATCTTACAAACACAACTTGAAACCAAAAAAAAAAAAATCTCAGTCTTGCAAACTTATAAACAAAAATTCTCTTTAAAAAAACAAACAAAGAATAAAGAGAGATTTAGTGGAACTTTACAACAATACAGGAGATGTCATCTTTGCTCTTCTTAGATATAGCTTCCTCTATCAAGTGCTTTGCTGCTGCTTGTGGATCTTTGATACTCTTGATAGCATCAACCGCTTCTTGGTTTGACATTACCTGCATTTAAAAAACATTAACAACAACTGAGTAAACCGGCGGTTTAAAACCAAAGCAAGAAGATAACACTTGAGTCCATTTAACTTACCTTCCAAATACCATCACTAGCAAAAACGATGAACTCGGTCTGATCATCAATCGCCTGGTGAGTAATGTCTGGCTCTGAGCTCAGATGTATCTTTAAACTCTTATCTCCAAACGCTCTCGCAACCGCTAATTGTCCATCCACTCGTGGAACATCCCCTGCAACACTTCTTAAAAGTTAATATAATACACCATAATTAGTCAAGCAACGAATATATATATACACAGCTTTTTTACCTGGAATATTTGATACAAAGCCACCTCGCTTCTCTATATCTTTCCTCTCCTTACTTGGTTCATGATCAACCGAGAGCTGATGCGCAACGCCATTCTTATACATCACTGCTCTTGAGTCTCCAACATTAGCAACCACTAGCTTCTGACCATCGATTAAAATCCCAGTTACAGCCGTTGAACCTCCTTTTCCAAGCTTAAGAGACTGCTGCAAGATCACTTCATCTGTTGATCTATAAGCGTTCCTTATAGCATTCTCCGTGTCACTCCAAAACTCCTTCTGATAAAGTGGATAGAGAGTTGAAAAAGGATTCTCTACTTTAAGACTTGAAAGGAAGATTGTATTTTTTTTACCTCTTTAAGAATGTTGTCAAAGAGATTAGTCTGCAAGTACTTGGCCACATCATGCCCCAAGTGACCATCAAAGATGGCAAACAAACCAAGTTCATGTCCTTCAACTTTCTTGAATTCGGAGACAACGTAGTCCTCCATGGGATGGCTTGATTTGCCTTTGACAAAGTGAAAACCGTGAGTGATGTTTTTCCACATCTTGCTTTTGCCTCTTCCAGTGTCAGGAGGCGATCCGAAGAACCCGGCCTTTAGTTCAAAAGCAAAAATAGAGTTAGTTAGTACTGCAATCACACAAGATCAAAAGATCCCAGAAACAAACACTGACAGATTCTTCAGACGAAGTTTGTGACCAAAAATTAAAACTATCACAAGTTTTGTAATGAGCCTTGGGGATTATTCATTCATACCCGTGACCAAAAAGGTCAGACCTTTAAACTAGAGAACATCATCATAAACGTAACAGAGGAATCGGAAACTAACATCTAGGCACAGAATCTTCAGACAGAACCATGAAGTTGCAATTTTTTTATTACAGTAAAGTCTAAAAGGTGGTCCAATTTAATCAAAGGACTCGTAAAATTATCGATGGATCAGCTAAAAGTCAAAACTTTCACAAAGGATAAGACTCGAAACTGTATTCTTTAGACATCAGAGAAGCTGATTGATTCCAAGTCCAGACAGCAAAGAACTAAACCAAGTCAATACCATGGCTAAACAAGAAAAGGGTAACCGACAATAGACCAGATCAATTGAGATATCTACCATCAAAGGAGCCAATTAGTACCTTCATCTTATGGAGAATATCTCTGCCTGCCATTCTCAGAAAGCTTTGAGACTCTGTGTGATGATTGAAGTGAAACAAGAATGGAGAGACAGAGAGAAGATGGGGTTTATGAAAGAAATGGTTTTGACTTTTTGATGTAAGAAAATGTGGACTAGTTATAAGTGCAGGTGACTCTGTAACAGTTATCGGCTGCGTTGTCGTCCAATGCCAACGCGTTTCTCTCCCACGACTTTTCTTCTTTCTTTAATGAGAACGATGTCGTTTTGGTTCCTAGTATTTAAATGTAGCAGCAGCCCAAAGTAGTATTGTACTGTACTACAATACCTTTGTTTCATTTTCTTTATTCCTGTCGGCTCATTCAATAGATTCACTTTCAAAGTGTCTTCTTCTTCGTTCCTTCCAAGTGCTCCTTTGGAGAAAGCCCTCACATTTATTCAAACCTTAACTTGGTTTGTTTCATCGAATCAAATTGTTAAAAAAATCTTTATATATTCTACGTACTGACATACGTCAGTGTGATGGAAACTTGGATAGATCATTTTTCAAAATTTCATTTGTCCAAAGTTTTTTTTATTGAATTTGATTGTCAAGATGATAGAGATCTATGATCAATCACACACATTAACGAAGGGCCAAAGAGTTGGTGGTTTGTCTAATCATAAGTTACTGATTAATTTTAATCCCTCTTTATTGGTTAGAACACCTAACTAGAAAGTAGAAACTCAAATTACATAAACTAATAAGAGAAAAATATTCTTTCATAAGATGCATCCCAATATATATCTATAGAGAGAGAGAGAGATTTATAGAACATTCACATGTGATGATTCATATCTGGTTACATTCGTGCTTGGATCTTGGTCGCATCTCACACATTTTAATTTCCAAGTCACCTCTGACTCCATGCATTCACACGGTTTGATCCCTACCTTTCCCTTCCTCTTCTTCTTCTCTAAACTCTGCAACTACATAAAGCACCAACACCTACCGGTTCATCACGGAGAATAAAAAAACAAAAAACAAAAAAAAATAGAAAAACGAGTTAGAAGAATCAATTACAGCAATGGGGGACGTGAGCTTGAGGACATTATTCAAGTGGCTCACTCCTCTACAGTACTGTGGAGAAGGTTGCAGAGACATTCCTTCAATGAAACTCTCGAACATGTCCCTACACTGCTCTTCCTCACTCCTTGAAACCACCAACGTGATTAAGGCCATGAACAATAGGACACGATGCATCTTTATTTTGTTTGATGAGTACTTAGCCAAGTACATTCGATTATATATATGTGCTTCATCAAAAAACTCATCTCTTATTTAATAGTACATAATTACTTTACGCGTGGAATATGCGATGGTAATTGGTTTCAAGAGAAACATGCAACCCTCGTGCTTCCATCGTTAAGTATTCATGCAATTTGTATTAGGTTAATTTGTTAGTGCAGTACTCAAGCCATAAATTCATGCAATACTTTTTTTTCTTTTCTTTTATTTTTTAAAAAAAATGACGAAGTATAATAGTGGCCATTGGATTAACACTGTTAGTTTATGATTATTTTTTTTTTCTTTCCATAAAAAACATATAATAAATTGTTTAATAATTAAGTTAATAATATAAAAGGAGGTTAGGCTAAAGCTTGCAATATCAAAATTAGTTTCCTTGGGTTGTAAGCGAGTGAGTGCTATAATTACAATCCTAAGATTTGGTCTTCAAATGTCAACCTCGGATCCCACTTAAACTACTTCAGACAGCTACAAGTAAGGAGTTAAGTCTTTTTCCTTGGAGCTTATACCACTACTTGATATCCTCCTCCTCTGCAATCCTTACTCCAATGACTGAAACCTATACCATGTCTCTCTATATAAATCAACACTCTCCAAACAAATGATCCATAACTTCATCTTCCAAATGGCTCTTCTTCTTACATTTCATGCCCTTACCTCACTTCTTCTTTTCCACGTCTCTTTCGTATCAACCGCAACGCATAGCCTTCATCACCACCACCACAAAAGTCACTCCTCAAACCATAACCAGCATCTTCAGCAAGCGTACCGTGCACTTCAAGCATGGAAGAAGGTCATATACTCTGATCCAAAGAACTTGACAGGAGACTGGATCGGTCCCTCTGTCTGCAGCTACACTGGCGTCTTCTGTGCCCCATCCCCTTCCGAACCAAACACTCTAGTTGTTGCTGGAATCGATCTCAACCACGGAGACATCGCTGGTTTCCTCCCTGAATCCATTGGTCTCCTCTCTGACCTCGCTCTCATCCATCTCAACAGCAACCGTTTCTGTGGCATCCTTCCTCGTTCATTGTCCCAACTATCTTTACTCTATGAGCTAGACCTCAGCAACAACCGCTTTGTAGGGCCTTTTCCAGATGTTGTCCTCTCACTCCCTTCTCTAAAATACCTTGACCTTCGTTACAATGAGTTCGAAGGTCCTTTACCTCCAAAACTCTTCACCAACCCCCTCGACGCCATTTTTGTGAACAACAACAGGTTAACAAGCCTTATACCTAAAGATTTTACCGGAACAACCGCCTCTGTTGTGGTCTTTGCCAACAATGACTTCAGCGGTTGTCTCCCTCCAACCATATCTCACTTTGCAGATACTTTGGAAGAGCTTCTCCTAATCAACTCAAGCTTGTCTGGCTGTCTACCTCCGGAAGTAGGGTATCTCTACAAGTTAAGAGTCCTTGACATGAGCTATAACAGTTTAGTTGGTCCTGTACCTTACAGTCTCGCTGGGCTAGGACATCTTGAGCTGCTGAATCTGGACCATAACATGTTCACTGGCACTGTCCCTCTTGGAGTCTGTGTTCTTCCCAGCCTGCAGAACTTAACCGTCTCTGACAACTATTTCTCTGAAGAAGAAGGCATCTGCAGGAACTTGACTTCTAGAGGAATAGTCTTTGACGATAGCAACAATTGTCTCCCTGATAAACCGAACCAGAGGAGCCACAAAGACTGTGAAGCTGTGCTTGAACACTCTGTAGACTGCTATGACTATGAATGCTCAGCCATGGCTCCACAGGCTTCTCCGTTTACTGCAGGATCTTCCCTTGCTCCTTCTCCTGCTCCAGCCTACACATAAGGATGCGGCAAAGAAAATGGAAGAACAAGATTGTGTTGTGAGTGAAAGAATATGAACTAAGATTGTAACATTATACAGTTTATACAGAACACAGTGTCTATCCGGTTACAGATTCTGTATATAACTCTGCATTCATCTAAAAACCTCTCCAAGGACATGAACTAAATGTTTTTTTTGAGATCTCATAATGCTTGACATACAGCTAAAACATCCCACAATTTTTACAGACAAGAAAAAAAGGAACAGGCAAACCTGAAAAACAGTTGACAAAACACTCAATTAGAAGCATGGTTCCTCAAAGCCCAAGCAATCACAGAGCTATGGTGCGCATATCATTTAAAGTGTCATCCAACTAGTTGGGCTGTAAATATAGAAGATAAAATCTTTAAAGCCTTTCTTACTAACATACTTGATCCATTTAAAAACGCCCATTAGTTTTTTTAGTTATATTGAACTTCTTCTAGTTGGCTTTTAGCTCATTTGTAAACTCTCTGTCCAAAATTAATACTTTTTGTTTTTCATAGACAATACGTTACGTAAGTTTAAAAAATTTTGGATTTCAGATTTATATTAAATGGCTAACAAATTAGAAGATGTAGTTTTAAAAGGGTTGTTTGTGAATAGATTTGAGGAGGAGGGTAAATAAAAAGTGTGAAAAGAAGATAGATAGCCGTTAAGTCCACTGCATGTTGAAACGTGTGACGAAAACAAAAGAGAAGCATATCTGAAACGCTTCTAATTAATTTTGCATATTCTATTGAGAGTCGATGCAGCCAAAAAAACTAACGGCTATGACTTCTCTACTCTCACCATAAATACACATACAAGCACTCAAGAGCAACTCAGAGTTCAAGAGAGTAATTTAGTTTTAGAGAGATGGGTCTTATCAAAAGGTGTGATGTTTACATGGTGACTGTGATGTTCATGAGTTTTGGGTTTGCAATAGGGTTTTCAAATGGGCACAAATTCTCTGTTGGTGGGAAAGATGGTTGGGTCCTTACTGCTTCCGAGGACTATTCTCATTGGTCTCATCGAAACCGGTTTCAGGTCAACGACACCCTTTGTAAGTCTCTTTTTCTCTATTCTAATCTATATACACATTTTTGTTCAAAAGAAAAAAATCTATATACATATGTCATAATAACTTATAATGCATGATACCTATCAACTCGTTTGACTTTGATTTTGCAAGATTTTAAGTACCCTAAAGGGAAAGATTCTGTGTTGGAGGTGAGTGAAGAAGAGTACAACACATGCAACACCACACACCCAATAACTTCCCTCTCGAACGGAGACTCTCTCTTTGTGCTTAGCCGCTCAGGTTCGTTCTTTTTTGTCAGCGGCAACTCAGAAAATTGTCTCAAAGGCCAGAAGCTATCCGTCAAGGTCATGTCCGCCGCCCACCACGGCCATAGTCCTCATCAGCCATCGCCCTCGCCGTCACCAACTCTGTCTCCCGTTCATCAGCCTTCGTCATCTCCAGCGCCTTCTCCAGTAGCAATTGCTCCGGCTCCAGGACCAGCGAAAGGTTCTGCCGGTTTGGTTAGTCCTGGAGCGGTGTCTCTAGGATTGCTTCTCGTGGATATTATAAGTTTCATGGTTTAGAGTTTATAATGGTGATGGAAATAATTCCTCTATAATTGAGTTTAATATTAATGTGCTTGTGCCATCTTATTAATTGTGTTTGAACTTTGTTATGTTTGTTCGTTCTTGTTATGTGTTTTCATGTCTCGTGTTTTTATTTACTAATCAAGGTATTTGATTAGAGGTTATTAAAAGAGCATGTATTTGTTTTGTGTCTAACTATGAACATTCTAAATTTCTAATAGCTATTCTTAGTACACGATTAGGATAAGACCAGGTTTTGTATAAAAACGTTAATCAATCCAATTTAAAACAACCGAGGTAAACATTCAACAAAGTATATAGTAAGAACCGAGCTAATTAGTACAGGTCTATTACCATTAAAACCTATCAAAACTCAAATCAGTAACCAATTATACACTCTTTCAACGACTTCTCCTCAACTCTTGATGATGAACTACATTAAACTCTTGATCATTGCAAGATATATATTAGATAAGCTGCGTTGAAGAAGAATAATGTACCGTGTAAACGTTCCTAATATAAATTATGTAAAGGGTAAAAAAGCTAATCCATACAAACGAGGTCGCAATCTCTTTGATTACATATCTTCTTTGTTCTTTGTTAAGTTTCATCTAATTACAACTTTTCTTCCGAATTGTTTACTAGTCAGAGCTCATGTGATTTTATTTATAGTTACTTTGTTTTATTCACGTTTTGTACATGTGCCAAAGTGACTTACAAAGCCGTGTTGACTATCGACAATAATCAAATGATTCGACGAAAACTCCATCAATTTTTATGTAAGTGGAATATCATTTTATTTCATTAAGATGACATACTACAATGGGTTCAGGAAGTAGCCCTGTTTAGGCACACAACACCATCCGTGAGACGATTCCACGCAAACTCTCAATGCAAAACTCACTTCTCTTAATCTCACCCTAATTTACATATCACATCTTCCGTCTGTATATATAATCACACGACCGCTACAGCGGTCGGACGGTCCATTCCGGCGGTCGGACGGCTCAATCCGGTGGATAGATTTCCAAAAATACCATAATTCAACATAGAAACCCTCTGTTTTGCTTTGGCAATCATATCCTCCTCAGCCTCCGTCTCAGTCTCCGAAACCAGCTTCATAGATTTTCTCTCGCAGGTGCCGAGCCACTTGGCTTGCATGTACTTGTGTTTTCTCCAAGGACCCATGTGCATTTTCTTGTCTTTCATGCACTTTTTCGCAGCCATGCACAGTATTTTTATAAGTGATTTTAGCCTCTCTGTTTTCCCTACGTACACTTCCGGTAACATTCCAACGAGTCGCTTGTACTCCTCACTACCTTTCGCCATCTCAAACTCCGCCCTAAAAGATAGCTCAATCACAACACGGATCTCGCTTTTCTTCGATCCCGATTGGTCCACGATTTCCAAATATTCATGCTCACCTAATGTTTTCAAAACATCATGGTTAGTCCAACTATAATAATTAATGACAACTTGCTTGTTACATATTAAAATAATCAAAAAGTTCCAACGCATATATTTTTAGATTATCTAGACAAATCCATTGACGTATTTTTTTTCACGAATCATCTTCTTTGATTAGTAAACTATGTTATGGAAAATTTTAAAATAACTTGAATACAATGGGATTGTTTTCTTATTATACCTGCAGGGATCTCGTGATTGCTTCTCCATTTGGATTTGCAGCTGACGCAATCATATCCAGCGTCTCGGAGACGACGAGACACTTCGCCGCGTAAACAGCTACGGCAACCGCCGGTCACGGGTTTCCGGCAGACACATTGCGTACCCTTTGATCGCACTTCTTTCAAAGCTTGTTTCGTTGCTTGTCGAATCTTTGTCTCAGTTGAACTTGTCCTATAAAGTGTCGCCTACGCATTACAGATTTATACCAAAACAAAATTAATTATATCCCACGTAGAAAAAATAATAATTGTAACGTTTATCAAAGAAGAGAGAATAATAGTTTTTATAGAGTTTATCAAAATTTACCTGGAGAAGTTGCTCTTGTTCAAGCCAAAACGTTTTGTTCTCTTCGGAATTGCCACCGGCTGCATCGTTTTCAGCATCGGATTCTTCACCGGCGGTGAAGTTACCGGAATCAGGGTAAACCTCCGGTGAATGGTTTCCCCCGTCGAGAAAACCAAATAAAACGTCGTCGGAGCTAGCCATGCCGTCAAGAAACTTCATGATGTCATCGGAATCTTGACGATCCATTGCTTTAGAGATGAAGAAGAGAGATAGAAAGAGGGAGAGAGAGACGAAAAATGTTTTTATTTCTCTAATTGTTCTTTTTTTGTTTTTGGTTGAAGAAAAATAGGATTAAAGAAGCGGATATATATAGGTCCAAAACTGAAGCCTATGTGGGACCAGGTTAAATGATAGGACCCACCTGAGAGGTGGGAGAAACAGATACAAGGCGCCGCGAACTAGTGCTTCGAATGCTCAGTTTGTGTTTTGGAAGAAAATGACGTGTCAGAAAATGATTGGGTAAAGAGTCGGATCTGATGGCTCAAGACAGCTAGTTCCTATGTCAGCATGGCCAACCACGGGAACTCCGCATTACAGATTCGGATATACTCGATCCCTAATAATGTAACGTTACAATTATTTTTATTTTTCGATAAAAATATTATCTGTTGTTAAATTAAGTCGGTACTTTTTTAGAAATAGACGAAAGTTAGTATAAAATCCATTAACAAATCGATTTTCCGATATACTACTATTTTTCTTAACCTTCTCAACTATAGTCAGGTTATCTGAAAATAGATAAAGCGTGTCAAGTTTGATTTCTAGATTTCTAGATAATTATAACGATGTTCACGATGGTGTATGTCATTGTGCATTAACAACTAACTAACACGTTTTAGAAGCTACTATACATAATATCCATCTCAAAAACTTGTTACGAAACTTATGTATGTTACATATTCAAGAAATACGTTACCAAATTATCTATAATGCCTACGCGATGTCTTTGTGAAATGGAGTTTTGTTATTTGACATAAAAAGTAACCAATTTTGTATGATCAAATTTTTCTTACATCGTCCATTTTTCTCCGTAAAACTTAGATGTAAAAGAAAAGGGGTACAATTATTAAATTATTGGAAAGCACTCGGTAGAACCATCCTGATCTTGTAAAACGGACCCACGTGCCAGAAATCAGACAAAGACAAAGACACCTACGTGGAGGATAGCCATATACGTGTTCTTTTGTGCTAAACGCCTTATCCCGGCTACTTACATGGAGTCTCCTTGTCCAGCCACCAAACAAGAGAATGATTAGAGCAAATTAGCTGAAAGTTAGAACTTATAGTAGGAAGCATGCCGGTTTTACGAAAAGTTATTAGGAACACGTAATTTCCTTTTCGATTTGATCCTATTTTTGAAATTGTTAGTTTACAAAATTCACCATGATCTATACATTTTTCATTTTTTTTTTGAGTTTCCAAGTTACTCCAGTCTTGTATCATGCAATATACATATGCTTACTGTATTTACAGAAAGAAAACGATACTTTGATCTAACTATTGCAACTGCATTTCCCGGAACCTTTTTAGCATATACTACAATGATATAGCTGACTAAAGATACTTTTGCATATGTCGAATATGCTTAATCGGTTGTCAGATAGTAAAACAGGTTAAGCGTGTGTTATTATTACACAGCAAATGGTATCTGCTTAAGTTTGGCCAATGTGGTATAATAGAGTTAAATCATATTTTCTATATACTTTTTTTTTTTTTATATATATTTTCTATATACATTCAGATGCTTATATATCAAACCATATGCAGAGTTTAATATATCATCTGTAGTTCGAAACAGATGTTTTCTCTCGATCGCTCACTTGAAAATGCTGAACAGATCATACATATGATTCGAGAGGTTAAACAAAGAAAAAGGAAAAATGATTTGGCTTAAGTAGAATATGCCGCATTTTTTCAAGAAGGATTTGGGGAGGCTCGGAATATCCTTGTATAAGGGTCACGTGTAGCAGCATGTGGACCAGCTCATCGAGTCAAGATAAACAGTAAACAGTTAGAACATTTGTTGTTGTTTTAGTACAATGACAAAGTAGATGTGATGTGCAAATAATGCAAGCATGCATATCGTCGTTGCTTAATAAATTGGTTGGTACAGCTTTCTGATTAATATGTCCAACTTTTTATAATATTCGTAATATAGGTAAATCTAGTGTAAATATGAATAT